TAATTTTATTGTTTTATATTGCACATCAACGCTACCTGTGACCAAGACACAGAAATATTAATATATAAAACGACTAATTTCAAAAGCATTTTACTGATGGGATTTTTTAAGAAACATGATGCATTTATAACTCAGTAGGGTGTTTGCACTGTCTGAAACATGTCAAATGTATTGAGATTGTAGAGCCTAATCTATGTTTGTTGTTTTCCTTTTTGTCATGTTCATTTAAAATTCAAACTATTCATAATAAAATTCTTTTCGTATTTCTAATTTTGTAATAAAATGAACAGTGAAGGAAACGAAGATAAAATTTTCCAAATATACGCTACCGAGTATGAACCAATTCGTATCGGATCTATAGATGGTAAGATTTGATGTCAGTCTTGTTATGGCAATTTAGTGTAATAAAATCATGCAATCATTGAAATTGTTAGATATGCCCTTACTATTGTTTGGCCGCACCGAAATCTGTCGAGTGAGTGAACTCCCATCTCATCATGTCTCAAGGGCGGATCCAGCTTTGGCGCCAGGGGGGGGGGGGGGGGGGTGTCATATAGCCAGCTTTGGCTCCAGGGCGTATATAGTCGTGGTATATTAAATATTGAAAGTACTTAAATAAAATCCCCCTGGGTTTGGTCTATCTGTACCCAGCCCAGGGGGGGTCATGACCCCCCCCCCCCCCCCCTGAATCCATCCTTGTATAATGAGCCTAGGAAACAGTATATATAACACTGGTACAGAGCTACAGTGTGATTGTATTACTCAAAAAGTTGTCTATAACAAAAATCCAGAATATTTATTTGAAAAGCTTACCTGGTCAAAAGGCAATGCATTAAGAAGCTTACGGGAAGTCATACAAAATAATTTAAAGTTTACCTAAACAGCTTAATGCAGAGGGACTTTCAGATTCCATGCAGCAAGCATTTGGAATAATCTTCCATAACCAATGAAAATAAAATAGGCTGTACAATATGCTTTAATAATAAATATAAAATTGCTCTAATGAAACGTCAGCTTGCTGTAGAAAATATAAACCATAGCTATTGGAAATTGACACCCTTAAAAGTTTTCTGATTATCAAAATCAGGTACTTTCACAGTGCGTGCTGTGAAGTGCAGATTCTTTACAGCACAATCAAAATAAATCAAGCTCTCTCAGCTAATAGACGAAATGGCAGAAACCATACTAAGTGACCTTTTTACAGATCATTTTGCAGCTTATCTGAAAAAGAGATGGGGAAAAATCTTCTACTTATCTGTCATAGGATCATAGGAGTCAATTGTATAATATACTTCACATTACTTCACGTCCAGTATCCAAACTAGCAAAATATAATTAAATAATATTTAAACATAAACAATATTATAAATTGATTTTGATTGAAACCATTTTCCAATAAGTTATAATGTCCTTTACATAAGCTCCATTTTGCCGACTTCCTTCATTTATTTTCGTCGATAACATTAACACTGTTGGCATTACAGACTTTCAGTTATGCTTTAATTAAAGCTAATTAATTTCTTTACATGTTCATTTTACGGGTTTTCTTGTAGAATAAGTATTTTAATCAATAATCTGACTGGAATAAATGGCTAAGATGAGAATTTCCCACATTTTGGGAAAATCAGCCTATTTCTGAACTCACTGTATATCAAAGTCTATCAGACCTACAGGATTGAAATGACATCCATATAGTAGATAATTTACTTCAAAATGTGGGAAGATACTTGAAAGATAGGATGGACATTCCAAAACTTATATGTGAGAAGCTAAAAAAGGACTGAATCTTCTGTCGAGATTTGACTAAACAATCTAATTAAATATAATATGTATCACTTGTGAGACACATTGGGTTTTAATGCTATGGCCAAGTCAATCTGTTTATTTCAAACACAGAAGGTTAAGGGACCTAGAGTAGGGACTGAACAAATGAACCGACTTGGCATTAAATGCATCTCACAACTTTTTACAGTAAAAGAACTGTTGTTTTTTTACAAGTTATTTTTTTGATGGCATAAATCTTTATAAACACTGCATTCATAGCCTCTACTGCCTCTACGCATATAACGTCGGAACGTGGCACGTCACGAGCGAATGCTCCGTGTGTATTTCAGTATACATACGGAGACTTGGTAAAGTTTAGTAACTGTAATTTTTCAAGATATTGAAATAATTCTGTCACTATATTTATTATAGTATGTATACCTACAGTATGACAGTTTTAAATTTTGTGAAATTGGAAACTTCCTTATTCAATTATCCTTAAGAATAACAACAATTGGTCAAGTTAATCAAATGCTTGCTTTATAATAGTTATTTCAATTTATTGATATACATTTTTATTACAGAATAAAATTCTCTCATATTTCAGGAACTGATTCTGAACCCCATGATCGTGCAATCTTGAGAGCTCTGCACTCAGAATATGTGCCTAATAAATTAGTAAAAGGAAATCCACATTACACAGTATTTGTAGGTAGATTAAATCCAAGAACAACTCAGGTATTGATAATAATAGTATGACATGAGTGTTTTAATACTTAATTATAATAGTTGCATACAAGACTTTATCTACACCTATGATATGAATCCTCTTTAAAAGATTCTGAAACAATGGGGCGTTCTAAGAACTTAAATCCATGAAAAGTTTCGGCGCTGTTTTAGCGAAGCGCACGTGAATGACAATGTTCTTTTTTTTATATTCATAATAACATGAATTCAGCAGTGAAAATTGGGACTGTCTGATGTGCAAGCCCTTGATGCGGTAGGGATTTAAAAAGCCAAGGAGTCTAAAGAAAAGTTTTACTAGACAAAAAAACACGCAGGCCAGGCAGCCGACGGGACTTGAACCCGCACCCTTCGTAATCCGGGCGAATGCACTGACCAATTATGCTACCACGGTCCTGATGGCCGCGTCGAAATTTTCCTAGGATTTTTTTCTAGTAAAACTTTTCTTTAGATTTAAACATCTAGCAGTTAAATGCTTAAAAAAACATAAGCCAAGGAGTGTTATTACAAATTTATTAATAACACATAACACACGTTTGAGTAAGGTTTGGGTGTTATATTGGTTTAGTTTTTTTAAAATGATATTGGATGTTGCCATTGACGTTGAAACAGCCGCACACACCGTCGATCGTAAATTAAAGTTTGTATGTTTGTTACTCAATCATGCATTGTGACTAAACAGTTTTGGATGAAATTTGGTACCCTTATAGTTTATTAAGTACTTGATTTAGACATACGATAGGCACTTTTTATTCCAGAAATGTTAGGTTCCTATGGGATTCTCAAAAAACTAATTTTGTCGCGAGCGTAAGCTAGAATGGATATGTTTGGATGGTGAATTATGGCCATTGACAGATATAGGGATTGAGTGTGTAAGGACAGCACTTTCTGGTGCCCTGTTTGTTCACCTACCCTTGCGTGTTTCGGTTCAGTTTAAAATACTCGGGTACTTTAGCTAAAGGTTAGACAGAAGTAGATAGCCTGGATCCTAGATTGGTATATTAGATAAAATAAAGTATAATCCCAATCTCCCTATTCCATCCATAGGGAAGGCCTGTGCCCCAGCAGTGGGGACATTAATACGCTGATGATGATGATGATAATATAAAAATGGTTTTTTGATATTTTGCCATAAAATTGTGTTAGAAATTGGTTGGGGTATTTTCATGAATTTTTATTTATTATTTTATATTTATTAAGTGTAGGTAGTGGCAACTTTTAATGACTACGCTGCTATATAAAGGTGCTATCCCACGATCTGTGTTGTCGCTAGAAAGCCCGCGCCGCACAGGGTTGCCAAATATGAGAACTCTTTAACGTTCGAGATTTAGCAGTATCTATACATAATACAAGGTAAATAGATATCTCGTACAATTTGATATGAGATTTGAACAATGTTGACTGTTTGTGTCAAGTACACAAACCAAAAATATTATCAGAAAGTAAATAAATGTCAAGTGCTCAAAGGATCGCCTCAGTAAGTATAGATTTATTATGCCATGACTTAATGCATCCTTATTCGTATCATCGTATCATGTATAGATACTGCTAAATATCGAACGTAAAGCAAACCGTTTGGCATTCCTACGCGGCGCGGCCCTGTCCGCGACAACACAGATCGTCGGACAGCGCCTTAAGCATAACTTTATTTTTCACAGGATACAATATATGAACAGTTTTCTAAATTAGGAAAGGTGTCGCACTGTCGTCTTGTGAAGGACATTGTAACAGGAAAGTCAAAGCAATACGCATTTGTTGAGTATGAAACGTCAAGTAGTGTAGAAAAAGCGCTACGAGATATGCATAAGGAGTATATTGATGGATCAGAAGTGATAGTGGAGCGCGAGGCGGAGCGGCGCCTGCGCGGGTGGCGGCCGCGGAGGCTCGGCGGCGGCTTCGGCGGCCGGAAGGAGGCCGGCCAGCTGCGATTTGGTTGCAGAGATAGACCATTCAAAAAACCATATCTTATTCCATAGAATCATTAGCAATAATTTGTAAATTTTAAATAAAATATTAAATTACATGGGTGTTTTCTTTCATAAATTGGGTACATTTCCCTCACTCTTTCTCTTAGCAAGGCTGTCCAACTTGTTCAGCAAAGATCTATTTTTAGAGAAGAAACCTTTATACCAATTTCATACTTCTGACAATTTCTAAAAATCTCAAATTTGACTATAACTATGTTTATAATTTTTAAAGCATGTAACTGCTTGATGTTTAAATCTAAAGAAAATATAACTAGAAAAAATTCCACGCGGACCAACCCGCACCCTTCGCAATCCGGGCGAATTAGTGCAATCGCCCGGATTGCGAAGGGTGCGGGTTCGAGTCCCGTCTGCTGCCTGCTCCGCGTGGAATTTTTTCTAGTTATATTTTCTTTATAACTATGTTTTTTAAAGAAATTAACTTACTTAAGACCTTGTGATGGATGATTTATTACACAGAGACCTTTTTTATTTGAGAAAATCCAGGCCGGAACATACATCCATGCTCACGGAATATGCACTCTGTTACTAATTAAGTACAGATAATTAATACTTTTCATTTAGTTAAGTGATACATCTCTCTAGTAGGCGACGACATGGCAAAAGCATAAGTTACTCATAAACCATGAAATGTCTACAAAAAAATGTGTGATGTTTGTTGCAAAGAATTCAAAGGATGGTGTAAGTCATTCACAAGAACAGAAGCAATACTGTCCGCTTTGGAAGGTGCGCTGCTATTGCTATTTATAGGGTTGTTGGCGTTTCTGATACTCCACTTGTTGGTCTGTTACGACCCTCATCACCACGACATAAATATTATTACCACTAGTTCTACTAAACTTCCCGATTCATATGAATCTACCGGAACTATTGAACGCGGTAAGACAACCGCCAGCAACACACATAAAAGCCACACGGAAATAATTGTTATTACGAGCACCAAAGCTCGCAACAATCCGCCTCAGAATAAGGAATGTTCATGGACACCATCCAAGAAAACCAAAGCCACTACACGTTATTTTGAAATTAGTGTATCTAATCAAACCGCACGTCACGCCAGTATCGAAACTACAGAAAGAGTTATTGTAGAAATTCCAACAGTCCCGGCTGAGGAATCGGAAGGAGAGGAACCGGAGATTGTATACAAGAGCCTAGTACTGGCGCTGGTCAAAACGAGACCGCAAAGGGAGGTCGTGTTCGGGTGTATCCTCACTATCGTGTCGGAGTACTGGACGCTCACCGCGGCCAGCTGCATCGAGGCCATAGAAGAGCTCGATTCGCTGGACTCCTTCGTGATAATGGAGAGTCACGGCGAGCTGGCGAATGGCGCCACCCACGCCATCGCGGACGTGCAGATAAATCCATTTTATCAGGGAACCAACGAAAGTTACGATCTTGCCGCTCTGAAAAGCGACTCTTCTTTACTGAGGAGGAACGGAAAGTCCGTGCTCTTACCGTCGATGTTAGATTACCTCCTCATCACCACTGGCCAGAGATTAACCATATTGGGTTACGGCAACTACAGGTATGTAAATGAAGTTCAACCCATGATTGAATTGGAATAGTGCACCTGATTACCCACACCCTTTAGGATATGATAGGGCGTACCTAGAAAGTATTCTCCATCTTACACAAGACAGTTGAATAAATAAACCTATTATTCTGCAGTAAATTACTTATACAGCTGTTGTAAGGTTGATACCCTTACACGGGGCAAAGTGAGGTCACTCGGCCATCGTCGCCAACCCCAGTAGGTGTAACCTGCACACCGATTGCTTTTCTCTCAAATTATGACTGTAAAGAATATAGTGGTGTCGATTCTGGCAGGATTCTCTAAACTTAAAACTAAATTTAACATCAGTCTGTCCTTTTCATTCTTTTAAGAGAATGACAAGGATACACATGTTGTCAAATTTAAGTTTAGCTTTAGAGAATCATGTCAGAATCGACACCATTATATTGTTTACGCATGCCCGCAAGAATAACGATCTGAAAAGACAATTAATATCTTTGTCACGTAGATGCTGCTGCCTCTGATGCCTGCTTGCCTCTAATCTTGCGGGTATATCTATTGTTCATGTTTTACGAGTTTACTCTTGATCCTCCTATCCCCGTATTCCATTCGCAGAGAAGGTCTATGGAGACATTATTAATAGGCTGATGATGACTTTATTATACAAAAACGAAAGCAAGAACGTACGCTCATCTCATACTCGTATACAGTACCGTCTTTGACCGATTGGAGGCCCTGGGCATATTAGGATATTGGGGCCCCTATGACCCCCGTTTGGTGATCTAACAAGAACTAGGGACTTTGTATTTGTGATTTGAGGTGCCTACCTATCGATCACGGGGCCCTGGGCACTTGCCCAAAGTGCCCACTGGGAAAGACGGTTCTGCACGTACATACGTTAAAAGATTCTCTAGCCGAAGGTGTGACTTTGCAGAACAATGAGCAAGAATGTATCGGGGCGTAGACTGAGAGAGGTCCACGTGTATAGCATGCCTGGCGCGCAGTGTGCTCGGAGAGGCGAGGAGGAGTGGTGGGCGCCGCGCCACCTGTGGGACCCCGCACCGTTGGGGGCGGAACAGGGGGCAGGGGAGAGCGCTTGCGCAGCGTCGGCGATATGCGCTGGCGGGCTATACGCTCGCGCCGCGCCCTGCTACTACTGCGCGGGCACGCCGCTGCTGGCCGGCCGGGTGCTGCTCGGCGTCATGTCCGGGAACGCGCAATGCGGTGTCGCCTGCGAGCCCGCGCTCTATGTCAACGTAGCCGCCGTACGCGACTGGCTGGACTTCGTTATCGAGTCCGATTGATGCGCGATGCTTTTGACTGTTGAGATAGTTTGTTAGTAGTTTTATTTATGAAGTAAACGGATCTACAATATATGTTTTATATTAAGTAGGTATGTGTTTATTTATATTGTACTAGCGGCCCGCCCTCGCTTCGCTTCAGTGTAGAGCTGAAGTGTAGACTACAATTTTTGTTCTCAGGCTTGTATTATACACAATGACATTCATCTATGATTCTTCTTATACCTGCATGCAAAGTCTCAGCCCGATCGGTTTAAAATTGACAAAGTTTCATACAAACTTTCATTCCCTATTTTATCCCCTTGGGGGTAGAATTGATCAAAATCCTTTCTTAGCGGATGCCTACGTCATAACATCTACCTGCATGCCAAATTTCAGCCCGATCCGTCCAGTGGTTTGGGCTGTGCGTTGATAGATCACTATGTCAGTCAGTCACCTTTGAGTTTTATTTATATAGATTGAAGATTAAGAAGCTTCATGTTTTTTGTCATTTACCTAAATCTTATATCGGTGGTGCGACGACTTGTGTCCTGGTCTAGGATAGGTGGTAATGCTCGTGAAATCCAAGTCAGTTAAAAGTTTATTTAATATCCTCACGACCTGGAAGACCGACGAAAACGAACCTCGTTCATTTATTGAGTAAACACACGAAATAAACGTCCTTAAGTATTTATTAATGAGCTGTAACATGCAGGGTTAGGGCGCGAGTGTAGTGGCAGCCGCTGCCTCCGCGCCGGCGAGGAACTGCAGCACGGAGACCGTGATAGTGGCCGCCACAAACAGTGCCATCACCAATGAGCACGCACACAAAGCCTTGTTCATCCCTCGCCACCTACCATCAATCTCTAGCTTGATATAGTACTTATCTACTTCAATTTGTAATAAAAATCGTATTGAAGATCTGTCAGAGTGAGGTCTCAAATGATTTTGGCAAATAGCAATCCTCGTCTGTTTGAAAAGAGAGTAATTATATAAGTATTTATCTCACTGTTCTCTAATCGCTCTCAAAGTTTTAAAAGCCCATATCCCTTTAAAGAAAGAAAAAATAAAATTCAACAAAATATCAGATAACGTTATATCATAATATCAGATTAATTATTTACGTTATATCATTAATCTGATAAGAAAATGATTCGTCCCATACTAGAATGCGTACGATGGTATCCATATATCTATGGTGCCAACGAATGCAGTTGCTGTCGCTTTAAATGTCTCCTGGATTAAATAAATTCCACCCATCCTATGTAGAAAGGGTGGTGATTACAAGGTGATGAAGTTAAGATCGGAGATGGTAATTGAAAGAAGGTTGAACAGATAGTGTGTTTATTATTATATTGTAAATTAAAACTAAACTATTATTGCGTAATATAACATGCCAACTAAATACATCGTGACCTCATTAATTTGTCTGTTTGCGGAATTTTATTATTAATATTATTATTGCATCATTACATATTATGCACCACAAGAGCAACACAGCCGCGTTGCTCTATGATCCTATGTTATAACCGACCATTGAAGAAATAGCACAACTAGCCTGCGCTGCACCATCGCGATAAAGTTTCAGTGTTGATACTCAAATGTTCCGAATCCAGAACAGCCTTCTGTAGGACACACCCAGATACATCGTAGCGTACATTCCCTAACACATTAACTGCTGAGCGGTGCCGCTCCGACGTCGCAACGCATAAACCCAGCCCCGCCTCGTCTCGGCGTTTACAAGTTCTGTGCGGCACCGCAGCGTATCGTGTGACGTGGCACATATATTTCTATGTAAGGCGATGCAGTGACACCGTTCCAACGATGCCGGTGCTCCAACTATGGTATACTGTACTGAGGCGACCTCCGTGGTCGAGTGGTTTGTACGTCGGGTTTCATTATGTCGCCGACTAGAGAGGTCCCGGGTTCGAATCCCGGTGGGGGCAGATGTTTGTGTGATAAATACGAGCATTTGTACTCCAGTCATGGATGTTAAATATGTATTTCTATATAAATATACTTATATATGTACAGTATATGTATTCTATCCGTTACCCTAGTATCACATAACACAAGCCTTACAGTGCTTCCTTTTGTGGCTAGGCTAATTGGTGTGAGTGTTGGAAATATTTATTTATTTATGGTATAATTCTCTTACTTCCACTTTTGACATTTCAAAGATATTTAAAGGTTTCACTCTTCGATCAAAATGAAACTCAGTAATGCATGCTCATATTCGTGAATAATACGTATTAAATTGTGTAGTCACTCCGTGGTATATTCAGTGCCGTCTTTGACCTATTGGAGGCCCTGGGCATATTAGGATAATGGGGCCCCTATGACTTCCGTTTGGTGATTTAACAGGAACCAGGGGGCCAATCGCCTAACGGAAATGCTTTGGAAAACGCTAACGCTTACGATTTTATTTTGTTATTTCTAGCCGCCTGAGGTATTCAAATGCCTCGCGCTCTTTCTCTTTCTTTTGCATTGGTAATAACAATATTAAAAAATGAGCGTGAGGTTTTCGAAAACCTCAGGCGGCTAGAAATAACAATATAAAATCGTAAGCGTTAGCGTTTCCCAAAGCATTTCCGTTAGGCGATTGGCCCCCAGGGACTTTGTATTTGATCTGGAGGGGCTTTGGACACTTTGGGAAAGTGCCCACTGGGAAAGAGGGGTCTGGGTATATTTAAGTTTGTAAATATGTTTCGCAAATCAAATTATAAGCTATCGTGGTAGGAGTGGAAGTGAGACAAGGGTATATAAATAATAAATAATAAATAAATATTTCCGACACTCACACCAATTAGCCTAGCCCCAAAGTAAGCACTATAAGGCTTGTGTTATGGGATGCTAGGGTAACGGATAGAATACATATACTGTACATATATAAGTATATTTATATAAATACATATTAAACATCCATGACTGGAGTACAAATGCACGTATTCATCACACAAACATCTGCCCCCACCGGGATTCGAACCCGGGACCTCTCGAGTCGGCGACAGCCATGAAACCCGGCGTACAAACCACTCGGCCACGGAGGTCGTCAAAAAAAATATAAAGTCACGAAGACCAAAATAAAACAGCTATAAGCTTTAACATAAACATTTTATTTATATATAATCCGTTTGAATCATTATAATACATTTCGGAATACATTGCAGTTGGGCGCCCGCGGTCCACATAATATACAGATCACCGCCTGCCGCTGCTCGTAACATTACTAAGGCATTTTAAAAGTTTTTACAACCTCTACTTATTACACCATAACTGGGTTACCTACCGCCATTAAATTGAAAAACATTATCTGTACATCTCATAATTTACATTCAAAAGGAAAATCATAAATATAAAATAAAAATATTAAGCAGAAAGTCTATTTGAGATAGTTGTCGATACGATAATATAGATTATTGTCTAGATTCAGAGAAGATAAGAAACGATTGAAAGGATTGCACTAGGAGTATCATTAATTACATTATTAATTTAACATTTCATATAAGCTTACACGTAAATATCTAAAAAATAATACCAAATTTCGTTTATCATAATCAAAAATACATCTATCTAAACAGCATAAATAATATATAATTCGGATATCTGTTAAATTAGAATATTATAGAACGTCCATAAACTACGTGAGATGTTTAAGGGGGGAGGGGATCTAATCTTACGTTGGAGAGGGGGGGTCTCGGCAAATATCACGCAATATTTTTTTTCCGATTGAAACAAAAAAATATACTATTTTGCTCCATTTAGTCCAGATTGTACATGCTTAAGATTTAAACTCTCAGCAATATTGATAACTAGTCTTAAATAGGTAGTCGTAAATAAAAGCACGAAGCAATTTTTTTTTCTTTTTACAATAACAATCCAACACGTTTACCTAAGAAACCGACATTATGAAAAATCTCACGTGAGATTGGGGGATGGGGTAGGGGTTGTATAAAATCTCACGACATCTCACCAGGGGGGAGGGAGGAACAGAAAATTCAAAAAAACACCTCACTCAATTTATGGACGAAGATTAAAGTCGTTACGGAAGATGGATAATCTGGTCCACAACAGACGTAAATTTATATGATGCCGCTGTTACTGTAGTACCGCTGCCCTGTGGAGGGCGATCTGAGAGCTCGGGGCTCAGGAGCTCTATTTTTGAATCACTCGTCTTGCGTCGAACGCTCGATTTCTACTAAATTTCTTTCTACATAATTAATTCCGTATTTTTGAATCGCTCGAGTGCAACGAATGGGTGAGACCACTCGCTGCATGGCGAATGGTGGAGGCGAATGATAGAATAATTGTCAATTTTTTTGTGCTATTAGACGACGATAATCTATTATTGTCATTCTTTATATGAAACGACAACGAGAATTTTTTGTTCGGTTTTCATTGCTTGCATTGCATTCTATTTTTTCTGCGTGAAATGAGTAAAATTTCATATTTCGTATTAAACAGGTAACACCGGTGACGAATGATTCAAAAATACGGAAAATCAGTATTATGCGACTTGATAGTCGAATGTGACTTATGTCGCATTCGACGATACTATGTCAGACGAGTGATTCACAAATAGGGCTCCTGAGGCCGGGAGTACAAATCGTTCGCATTTCGTCACTAATTCACAACTAACTATCATCTTAGTTGGTAAGCTTTCACAACAGTACATTCGTCGAGTTCAAACGATACAATATCACCACTATCTACAGTTTCAAACACGCAAACTGTCTCTAACATGTTACCTCTGTATATACAAAAAAAAATAATCAGTATTATTGGTGTGAGTGAGCGAAAGTGATCGTTATTGCGTGAGTGGTAGAGATCAGAGTCGTGGGAATCTAGATGCCGCTGCGGTACGCCTCGTCGCCTAACTGCGGCTCATACACGCCACTTCCGCCCTGCACCAAAACGACAACATGTTTAACAAATTCATAGAGTAATACAGATCGCGGCACTTAACATGCGCATGGGTACGACTGGAGAGACAATCGTCGCAATGCACAACGGTCAGAGCTTAGATTAAAACAAAAAGGGTAGATACGGCACGAGCCTCACAAAAGTGATCCACATGAATTGTCGTCCACGACCCTAATCGCTTTAGTCACAAGTTGACATGCAAACGACGTACGTATGTGAACGCCAAAAAGAAATATTGCTAATATTTTGTGTTTATATGATAAAACAATGCCTAAGCGTGTTTTTAAAAAGTGTTCAAATTGCTCAAGAATATTTTTTTTTTCATAAAAATTGCGGTTTGTTTTGAATTTTATTCGGTAGTGACGTCGAGTACTGGTCGCGTGATTGGTCGGTAATGCAGAGACGCGGATCTCGCAGTCTCGTTCGCGCTGCCGTTGAAACTTAACGTGCTGTTTCGTTCGGGTCGGTAATGCAGTGACGCGGATCTCGCCGTCCCATTCACGCTGCCGTGGGATCAGTTTTTGTTTGATGCAAGTATGAGCATACCGTATCTACCCTTTTTGTTTTAATCTAAGGGTCAGAGTAAGAGTTTGGTGCCGCGAGTTATATAACCCAGCCTGGCTAGCATGAGCACCGCGATATAATATATGTCGGCGAATGGCGTCTCGCTCGCTCCTGCGAAACGTAAAACCGACAACAAATGTCATCAGTCATTGTACCGTTGCTTTGTGAAACGTCAAGTTATGACAGTGACAGCTGTCATCACTAGGGAGTGGTCTATGCTAAGGGTAGTATTTAAGGGGGTAACGCTTCATTGGAAGGGGCATTCAGCATTCAGACGTGAGCCGCGATAGTGAACGGACGTTAGCACAGAACTCTCCGCGCTTCACAAAGCAATCCGTTTGTACCTTGGCAATCATAACTGATTTTGTAAAGTAATAAAAAGATTCAAATTAAACGTTAGCTTGGTCACTAGACTACAGTTTTATTTTCGGGAATTATCATTGAATACCCAAGATGGCGGATCATAGACGAACCACGTGGCCAACCGCCTATCGCGCTCGCCCCTCCGACATATATAACTCGTTTTTATCACGTTCAATTGTCAAATTACTATGGAGTTTGACAGTAAGGCACGATAAAAACGTGATATAATGTAAATTGTGGTGCCCATGCTACAGGGACAGGGCCGCTAGAACTTACTTGTTTTCTGCGATGAACAATAGGTACCTATGTATAATCCGAGTAGTATTACTGTGTAAAATGACCGTTTATATACTCGCTAACTCGTGATGTGTGAGGTAATGAGGTGGTAAATATATGTTAAGAGCAAAGGTTTAATTATATCTTTGCATTTAGAGTCATCTAAATATAGTATACAACCAATTAGTCTTATATTTCTTCAGATCAAAAGTTTCCAAATACATATATACACCATTACAATGATCCGTAATATGTACGCGTCGTAACTGTTCATTTGGTATCTAAGCGTCCAGAGTACTCATAAATATCTTTGCTTACATGGATTATTCAATTTAAATAAAATTAAAGGTTAGGCACACATATCAACTTGGAAAAGGATCGTCACCGTTTCAACTCGTGCCGATGAGTATTCTTTATAATAAAACTTCAGACTGCAAAGCACACTAATCGGAATCACAACGTATAATGCGATTCAAATAAGAATAGGAAAGCCAATGACCTCCATCTGTCAAATGTCGCTTGAAAAGTACGGTTTGCAAAAAAATCTCGAAACACTTTTTTAGCACTCAGCTGATTCTAGAATAAAACCAAACATTTTAAACAAACAATAACAAATGTTGATAATTAATTAGTTTTTTTTTTTTTCATTTATTGAGCAGCTTTGGCTATGAATGGTTGATAACCTAAATCGTCAACCAAATGTCACTTTATGTTGCGTTCAAAAAATCGATTTAAAACTTTCGTTTACATAAAGGATGCATGTTCGTATGTGACCTGCATGATTATTCATAACTTCTCCGGTGGTAATGCAGAGATGAGCGAAATTTAAGAGCTAGATTCTGATTATTTTTTTATGTTTTTTTTTCACACAGTCTTAATAAAGAAATACTATTAAAAATCGGTTGTGTTCTTTCTCAACCTTAGTAAATTATTTTATTAAAAAATCTGATGTTTTGTCTCACTTAATCTTAGTAAATAAGTTTTATTAAATAGCAACATTTTTTTGCTCACTCTACCTATTTGGTTTGAATTGACAGCTATGACGTCAAAATATGGCGCCCATTCGATCCTATTCTTAGTTAAATCGCATTATAATCGTCTTGACTCGGGACAAGCTCCCGAGCCGCGGTGGCATTTCCGGTTATATTAAGGATTAAGGTACTCTATGACAGAAACTGTGTGATAATTCTGAATGAGCCACAGATTACAGAGAATTTTTAAACTCTCGTTAACCAAAGAAAGCTAAAAGATATATGTTATAGTAGTTACAGTAGCTTCATTATTTTTGTTATATTTATATTATAACCATATCTAAGATTTTTAGTGTATCACACCTTATATGTTTATGGAGGTGTTTGGCGAAAAATGTATGGCAATAGACTTTATTATGTCGCCTACCATCTATAATAATTGTCCTAGCACATTTGCATGTAGTGAAAATGATAATATAGTTGAATATATGAATACCACAGTGTAATTAACATAAATGTTTTATTTTATCGATCTTTACAAAATAGATTTTATTTTATTTTATATAGACAACTTCGATCAGTCTTTGGCTGAATGTTACTACACCCATAGCCATTAAAAATGATTCGTATGTTTTCCAAACCGGTAAAATTAGAAGTCCTTTTTAAAATGAATATATTATACAAAGGTGTCCGTTAAAATCTAATGACTGTAAAATAAAGTAAAAATTACGTCAAGAATTACGGTATATGTCAATATTTTTTGTGCTTTTGGGCCAATTTGAGCAATCTCCTTTGTTTCAAAATACTTAATGCGGGATCCCATTACGTAACTTTTGCATACAAGTATGACGTTACATATACAAGTAGGTCATGTCTCCGACTGTATGTAAAGTTGTGTTTTTTGCTTTCGATATTAGAGCGTCTAGCAATAAATAATGCTGACAGAATGTGTCGGGCAGAATTAATATATAATAGTTTACAATATTCTCTACAACATACAGAATCAATTCATATACCAGAAGTGAATAAAATTTTTACTTAACTGTAGCACCTGATACCCACAAATTGACCCACGGCACAAGTTAGCGAGGAAGTTTACGTTCATTGTACGTACTAATACTACTTGATTGTACATATATTCTTATTTCAGTAGAACTTCTACGGAACATCTATGATTAAAATGTTTAGCTGTGTTCGTACCTGTTAGTGACCGTTAGGTATGTCGGTCGGCTCCTATGTATGCGTGACGGGAGAAAAATATTTGAAATAATAATAATACAGCTACAGATTAATTGAACTAACATGGAGGAGCTCGATGGCGCAAGTGGTTAGCGCGTTCGGCTGCGATCGTTGAAGTTAAGCAACTTTCGCAGTGGTCGGTCATTGGATGGGTGACCAAAAATTTACTATCTCGAGTTCCTCCGTGCTTCGGAAGGCACGTTAAGCCGTTGGTCCCGGCTGCATCTGCAGTCGTTAGCACCCACCAATCCGCACTGGGCCCGCGTGGTGGTCATGGCCCAATCTCCCTATTCCATCCATAGGGAAAGGCCTGTGCCCCAGCAGTGGGGACATTAATAGGCTGATGATGATGAACATGGAAAAGAGAATGTGTATTGCGGTCGAGTGTGAGGAAACCTTAAGGCCATAATTGTGTGCACTAGAACTCGATGGCGCAGATGGTTGGCGCGTTCGGCTGCGATTGTCGAAGTTAATCAACTTTCGCAGTGGTCGGTCATTGGATGGGTGACCAAAAACTCTTCTATCTCGAGTTTCTTTCGAGAAGGCACGTTGAGCCGTTGGTCCCGGCTGCATCTGCATTCGTTAGCACCCGCCAATCCGCACTGGGCCTGCGTGGTGGGTCATGACTAGAGGATTCGATCGCACGATCGCCGCGATCCCGGTCATATTTTAGTCCCGAAATTTTCGGGATTAAATGTAATGAATCTCCGAATTTTCGGGATTGATATATTTTTGAAGTTATACTTCTTTAGGCGCGTTATGAAAAAATGATGAGTGAAATTTTAAGATGCGCGCGCATCACTGTAACACAAAATTTTAACAGCTGCTGTTACTTTTGTGTTTACCGCACATTAAGAAAATCTACGAACAAAATAGAAATAGAATCTCTATTTTGTGGGTGCTAACGACTGCATTGTGAAGGCCTATCAAAAGTATTTATTAATCTGGAACAACGGAACCAAAGCGCGATTCAGGAGACTACAGCGCCATCTCTTGACCATCGGTGTAGTAGAACCAAAAACCACATCTTTATTTTTTGTAATAAAGTAACAAAAAGTATTTATTAATCTGGAACAACGGAACCAAAGCGCGATTCAGGAGACTACAGCGCCATCTCTTGACCATTGGTGTAGTAGAACCAAAAACTCATAAAGTGCAAATCACATATGTTCTAATAAATTATATTCAGTAGCGATTTTAATTGAATATTTTGATTATTTATTTATTTTTTCAAATTAAAACTGAACTTTATTGACTGTGTCCTTTTCCAGACTTTTTATTAATTTATTGTAATTAATTATTTGCATGCAATTAAAAACTAATTTTAAACGATGCCAAAGAAGGATAACTTCTCACGCGCCTACATAAGTACACGCACCCATTTTTTTTTATATAAGTCTTTTCTATTTGACGTTTTGACGGCCATCTTGTTTACACAGCTGACTTCATTTATTTTTGCTAACGACCGGTACCGGATTATGTGAAGTGTGTAAAAATTCCGCTTCACGTCGAGAAGTATTGATATTCTTTTTGTTATTTATAAGAAAGATGAAGATGTTTCGTCTGTGTGGAGTCATTTTTTAGACGTTAAAGTGGGTAGCTCAGCACAATGTAAGCGTTGCTTAGCTATTTTAAAGACCTGAGGAGGATCAACCAAAAGCCTACATACTCATCTATCTTCAACACATTCACATCTTCCTCAACAGGCCAAAATAATGAGGGATCATCTACAGTCTTCTTTATAGCATATCTAAACAAGTCTTAAGAAGTTGTTTTTTTTAAGTTTGTTGTAAAATTAAATAAATATTTATTATTTCATGAATTATTTACAAAAGTGCCTAGTTTGTTTATTTTATCAGAAGAAAGTATAATTTTGTTTTGTTTTTGTAAAAGTTTTGTAAAAATAAAAAGTTGATTTTGATATGTTTTACTGTCTTTTTGATACCACTTTCTTTTACCAATAAAATCCCGGGATTCCGGGATTAACTGTAGATAATCCCAAAATCCCGGGATTAGAAAAATCGCCTGAGATCGAATCCTCCAGTCATGACCCTCACTCCCTATTCTATCCATAGGAAAGGCCTGTGCCCCAGCATTGGGGATATTATTAGGCTGATGTGTGCAGTAGCTGTTTATGGTCCATATTTCTTTCCGTTTGATTCTACAATGATTGACGGGATGTGACGGGAGTTGGAGGGGTAGATTATACGCTAATTTCTAGTAAAGTGGTGCGGATGGAAGTTACCGGATATAGGAGCATCTGGAAGGGGTCTGGCAGCGGGGTGGAGGGGCGGCGCGGGCTGGGGGAGGGGGATACTGGCAGCTCGATCACCTGACGTACAATCAATATCTTACTAATTCTTTCTTTTGTAAAATGTTTGTTGCGATAGTAAAAATTTGCTGAATGCAATGTTAGTTTAATGACATCTGTATGTTCAAGTAACAATATTAAATCTTAATGGCAAAGATGAATTCAAAAAATTCAAAATTCAATATCGTTTATTCGGTCTAGGCTGTTACAAGCACTTGTGAATGTCGAAAAGCTACGCCATCGGTTCGCAAATCTACGGCGGGAGACCTTGTACTGAGAAGAACCGCCAAGAAACTCAGCAAGGGCTGATTTTTTCTCCTTGTTTTATTTAATACAGTGTTGACATCGATCGTCGAATTGTCGATAAAGCAGATTATTGGTACAGATAGTAAATTTTTTTGAATTATTGAGAATAAAAATAATAGATACAATTGAAAGATACCGAAATGATATAATCATCGGAGCAGGTGTTTAGCGCATTTTGTCCTTCTGCGAGGAGATTATCTCGTAGAAGGAGGCTGCGGAGAGAGCCCGAGAGGAACAGGCCCTCGCGGGTTCTCTTCGCAGCAGAAGGAGCAGGAGGCGAAGAAGTGGGCGCAGGATAGCTCATCATCTGCCACCCTGACACAGGGGAAGGCCCTATACAGGGCATGGGGGAGGGAAGGGTCCTTATTGGGACCAGGGGAGGCCGGTCACGTTAGGGATCGGATTAGGGAAACTGCCCTTTTCAGGGCTAGGGTGGGTGGGAGCAACACCCCAGTGGTTTTTATCATTCACTGTCATTGGAGGTAGATGCTTAAAAGGCCTTTCTTAGGGTCAAGGGGGGTAGGAGAGGGACGGATAGAACTACGCTCTCCGTCTCACTCCTGCGAGAGCCGCGAGTCTGTCTTGGGGGGGGGGGGGGGGGGCTCGCATTGCACAAGTTCTCAGGATGTGACGACGACCTCCGTGGCCGAGTGGTTAGAACGCCGGGTTTCATGGTATCGCCGACTCGAGAGGTCCCGGGTTCGAATCCCGGCGGGGGCTGATGTTTGTGTGATAAATACGAGCATTTGAACTCCAGTCATGGATGTTTAACATGTATTTCTATATAAATATACTTATATATGTACAGTATATGTATTCTATCCGTTACCCCTAGTATCTCATAACACAAGCCTTATAGTGCTCAGTTCGGGGCTAGGCTAATTGGTGTGAGTGTTGGAAATATTTATTTATTATTTATGTTGATATTCCCGATGCTCCGGGGTATCTTCAACGGGGTGGGTTCGTTCGCGGACAAACACCTGGCGGGTGCGCGGCTATTCGGAAACGGGAGCCGCGAATACACCCCCCCTCTCGGCACGCAGTAGGGGGACCGCGGTCCTCACAGTGCGTGTCGGGTGACGGTGCACGAGTATTGTCCGATTTTTAGTGGCCCTGTTCATCATGTCCTCGCATGTGCGGGTACCTGGTGCGGGGAGTGCTGGGGGGCGGGGGCGGGCACCAACAAGCTGGCGGGGGGCGGCGCGGGGGATAGAAGCGCGGGGGCGGGGGGCGGCGGGGCCGCGTTAGTATCATGTCCTCGCATGTGCGGGTACCTGGTGCGGGGAGTGCTGGGGGGCGGGCACCAACAAGCTGGCGGGGGGCGGCGCGGGGGATAGAAGCGCGGGGGCGGGGGGCGGCGGGGCCGCGTTAGTATCATGTCCTCGCATGTGCGGGTACCTGGTGCGGGGAGTGCTGGGGGGCGGGCACCAACAAGCTGGCGGGGGGCGGCGCGGGGGATAGAAGCGCGGGGGCGGGGGGCGGCGGGGCCGCGTTAGTATCATGTCCTCGCATGTGCGGGTACCTGGTGCGGGGAGTGCTGGGGGGCGGGCACCAACAAGCTGGCGGGGGGGCGGCGCGGGGGATAGAAGCGCGGGGGCGGGGGGCGGCGGGGCCGCGTTAGTATCATGTCCTCGCATGTGCGGGTACCTGGTGCGGGGAGTGCTGGGGGGCGGGCACCAACAAGCTGGCGGGGGGCGGCGCGGGGGATAGAAGCGCGGGGGCGGGGGGCGGCGGGGCCGCGTTAGACCCCGGCCCCGCCCCGGACCCCGACCCGCCCGGGTTGAACACGTCCACGTACGATTTCTTTATATCTGCAAAACGATATTGTACAATGTTCAAGAAAATTCTTGCTAGAAGAGTCGAAGAGCGGAATTAAACTGGAGCTCTATTTTTGAATCGCTCGCCTTGCGCCGAACGCTCTATTTCTACTAATTTTCATTCGACATAATTAATTCCGTATTTTTGAATCGCTCGAGTGCAACCAATGGGTGAGACCGCTCGCTGCATGGCGAATGGTGGAGGCGAATGATAGAATAATTATCATTTTTTTTGTGCTATTGGACGACAATGATCTATCCATCATTGTCATGCTTTATATGAAACGACAACGAGAATTTTTCGTTCAGTTTTCATTGCGGTAATTACCGGTTTTTATTTTTTCTGCGTGAAATGAGTAAACTTTTACATTTCGTATTAAACAGGTAACACCGGTGGCGAATGATTCAAAATTATGGAAACTCAGTATCATGCGACTTGAAAGTCGAAGGTGACTTATGTCGCATTCGACGATACTATGTCAAACGAGTGATTCAAAAATAGAGCTCCTGATCTTTTTGGCTAATTTAAATTAAGTGTTAATCATTTAATTTATATAAAAATAAACACACACCAATTCTTATAATTCTTTAATGAAATTTCGTTTTTGTTAAAACACTAAGACTCAATTTTCGAACTGTTATAAGATGAGATGAGAAAACATTATAAATGATGTGGTAAACTCACGTCTGCTCTTCTGCATCTTGAATATGTTGGATGTTGGCGCGGTGGAAGGCGGCACTCCGGCCTGCGGGCTGGTCCCCACCCTGTACACATTACAGTATCACACAACACTATATTTAATTTAACCGATTCGCTTTCTATGATTGAGCTTTTGACAAGTTTTAAAAAACAATCTCACGTAATTTAATAATGTTTATAGACTCCATAAAAAATATGTTTCGTGTTGATTGATGTGGATTTAATCATTCTGTTGTGTATTTCAGTAAAAAAAGACTAAATTCAATATCGTTTATTCAGTCTAGGCTGTTACAAGCGCTTGTGAATGGCGAAAAGCTACGCCATCGGTTCGCAAATCTACGGCGGGAGACCTTGTACTGAGAAGACTAAATCAAAATACCATTTTAAACTTGCCGCGAAACATTTCTCTATACATTATGGCGGCTGCACTGCTATGTACCGTCACACGATTGTCATTAAAACGTCAAACGACATAATATGACGTCACTTTGACCGGAATATGGTAAAGAAATAAAACAATTTATTTATTATTTATTTTAGTTCTAGCTAATCCCAAGCTTTTTCGGTCAGGTGACTATACAAGAAAAAGAAACGTAAATCTATTGAATATTTTTTTAGTAAAGCTATTAATTATTTGATCTCCCCGAATATTATAATCGCTGCTAATATTTATATTAAATACCGATTCCGTCCTCGTCCCCGTCGGGGGTGCGTGCACACATTACACAATACTCACTGTAGGGCGGGTCCGGGCGGCGGGGCGGGCCCGGAGGGCGGGGCGGGCCCGGCGCGCGGCGGGGGCGGGGGCGGGGCGGGCTCGTCCTCGTCCCCGTCGGGGGTGCGTGCACACATTACACAATACTCACTGTAGGGCGGGTCCGGGCGGCGGGGCGGGCCCGGAGGGCGGGGCGGGCCCGGCGCGCGGCGGGGGCGGGGGCGGGGCGGGCTCGTCCTCGTCCCCGTCGGGGGTGCGTGCACACATTACACAATACTCACTGTAGGGCGGGTCCGGGCGGCGGGGCGGGCCCGGAGGGCGGGGCGGGCCCGGCGCGCGGCGGGGGCGGGGGCGGGGCGGGCTCGTCCTCGTCCCCGTCGGGGGTGCGTGCACACATTACACAATACTTACTGTAGGGCGGGTCCGGGCGGCAGGGCGGGCCCGGAGGGCGGGGCGGGCCCGGCGCGCGGCGGGGGCGGGGGCGGGGCGGGCTCGTCCTCGTCCCCGTCGGGGGTGCGTGCCCACATTACACAATACTCACTGTAGGGCGGGTCCGGGCGGCAGGGCGGGCCCGGAGGGCGGGGCGGGCCCGGCGCGCGGCGGGGGCGGGGGCGGGGCGGGCTCGTCCTCGTCCCCGTCGGGGGTGCGTGCACACATTACACAATACTCACTGTAGGGCGGGTCCGGGCGGCAGGGCGGGCCCGGAGGGCGGGGCGGGCCCGGCGCGCGGCGGGGGCGGGGGCGGGGCGGGCTCGTCCTCGTCCCCGTCGAGGTTGCGCCACCGCTTGTGCTCCGGGTCCCACACGATCTGCCACAAAACGTACACAAATATTAACTATTATAATTTCATTCACAACACCACAGGCCCAAACACGTATTTTAACAGCTCCTAAATCATATCTCATAGTCAGTTTCTATGAAAACAAAGCAGTAGTATCGGACGTAACAACAAACTGGTTCCTTCCATACAAAACTTGAAAATGACGATACAATTACGAAGCTGTCAAAATTCAATCTGGTTCTTAGGTATTCACCCCAGTAAACTTCTTGAGCATAAATCATGGACAATAAAGCCTGCGCAGGAGCAATTTTACATACAAAAACAACTCACGCGCAATTTTTTGTCTGTTTTTTCTTAAGAAGATTTCCCCTTACCCATAACTAAAATTCTACATTCCTAGTAAGTAAAGGATATATACAAAGACCTATTTTTAAACCTCAACCTGAAGTCCAGAAATACAAAGTCACCTTAGGCTAGATGGGATCTAAAATAGCAAGGTTATAATGATAATGTATAAAATTACTACTTGGTTGAAACGTCAATGTTAAGACAGAGTATTGGACGATTCAAAAGAGCTTTCAATAATTGCAGCAGAATCCACAAGCACAAAATTAAAAATATTATAGATGAAATACTTTCAATATTAATTTAGTCAAAAAGGAACCTATTTTACAGGCTCGGCCTAGTTTAGGTACTAGTGTATTGGAAGTGCTATTTTATTGTATTTTTCGTTTTAAGTAGTATTGTCGCTTCTATTAAGCATTAAGAAAACAATTGTTATGTTTTAATAATGTAAAAATGTTGGGGCATATAAATAAATTTATTAATATTATTATAATTCAATTTTAATAAAGTATCATTTCATTTCAATAATAAACAATTGAAAAACCGATAAATAATGTTATATTTATCGGTTTTTCAATTGTTTATTAGTCGCTTTTTTAAATTCCCTGATAACAGACTTTCTGATAAAAAAATAGGACTAAATGCAATAAGATCTACTGGTGATTTTGGCATGATTCACTAAACCTTAACTTACACACTACTTACTAAATTTGACAACAATTTTTCATCGCTATTCTCTCTACAAAGGGAAAGATAAGACAGATGTTAAATTTAGAAAAGCATGCCAAAATTGAGGCCAATGTGGTTATAAAAATAAAATATATCTATCTTCAACGATTGTCAATCTGCCAGAAAACCCATAACGTTTTAATATGTGCCAAAAAAATAATCAGTTGACTTACAATCGCGTATAATGAACAACACGCCTTCGGCCGCACTATCAATTATATTATTGTTTAAGTTTGATTAGAGATGCTGTCATTCTTTTTGCCTGAAACACAGGACATTCCTAGTTCCTGGTCGCGCTTATCAGTCGCTCGAAATGACTTGTTAGTTCAGTTGATGGCCAGCGTATGGTACTGCTGGACGTTTTTACTATTTAATAAACAAAATAATGATGTTCGTATGCTTTAAATTAACTTTTTTGCAGTGATGTTGGTACGATGTGTGCGAAATTGTGTCTTATATTGAATTTAACTATTCTATATCATGATTTATTGGTTTGTAGTGTCCAGGTAGGTTTAATATTGTAATTTTAATAGATTTGTATTATCTGTGTTTACCTACCTTCTAATGTGAGCATAAAAATTCAAATGTTATATTTTAGTCCTTATTTTCATTTTTTGGTAAAATTTAGTATTGGTTTGTTATAATATTGATAAAAATGCACTCGAACATATTTTTTGTTTTGAAATTACCTTCGATGGATTTTAAATTGTCGATATTTTTGTCTCATTTTAATTTTCTCTCTATACAGATTGTTTTAATTAATTTTATACATTGATAGGAACACTGTTTCATATTTTACGGGAATGGGCGTTAATTCTGCAACACAGTTTTTGTAAAACTAAAGCAGTTTTAACGATTCATAATTTTATGTACATTGCACTTGTTCCAAATAAAGTTATTATTATTATTATATTATTATTATTAGTTCAGGTTAAGTATTTTTCTTTACCTCTTGTGTTTTTTCTTAGATCTAAGTCACTTATATGTAAAAATAATTCTGAATATATTTTTTATTATTATTATATTATATTCGCTTTATTTTGCGATAGTAGTCAAGTAGATTAAGTTTAATTAACATCTCTGACAGCGGTCGTAAGTCTATAAAAGCAGATTTTAGGTGCTTCTTTGGTTTTGTCTATCTACCAAAATTTTATGCCAGTTCCATAGTCAGAAGTTAGAAGTATTAAATAAAAGGCGAAACCCACAAAAGGATTTTATTGAAAACAAAAACATAAATACATAAAATAAAACTATTACGAAATAATATCATCTATATAAATGTTTATATAAGATTGACTACTAAATAAGTAAAGAAAACAATATAATTTACAATAACGATAAATATGAGAAAAATGTTTGTGTTAAAAGGTTATTAATAGAGGATTTTTTTTACAATTTTATTATAAAACATCAGATATATAAATAAATAAGATGACAATATATTTTTGAACACAATAAAAAAATATATAATAAACAAATAAGGATAATTTCAGAAAGTAAATAGATATATAAAATATACTTGATATAAGACACAACATTACTGATTATTATTATAGTATAAATGAAGATGTAATAGGGGGTACAGTAAACGAAATTCCATTTAGTCCGTCAGTTAGATGATCAAAAAATAATGGACACGTATTTTTTCTTTGGGCAATCAACCAAAAAATGGCAAAGTTATAGCACGTCAAAGTTTGGGAGTAGGGGCTCGTGACGTCACTTTTGAGTGAATTTTCCCTTATAAGTGTACTCAAACGTGACGTCATGCGACTTTTCAAATCAATATATCTCAGCAATGTTTACATTATGTGAAAAAAGAAAAAATACGTGTCCAATACTTTTTGATAATCTACCTGATAAAGGAAGAAAAAAAAATTAGTCATGATCCTTATTATAGCAATGTGGGCACACTCACGGTGGGGTTGCGGTCGTCGGGCAGGATCATCTGGTTGGGGGGCCTCAGCGACAGCCGAGTGAGGATGCCCCCCAGCCACCCACTCTTCTTGCCCTCCTGTTTGCCCGCGGCGTCGTTCTTCTTCGCCTCCGCCTTCTTGGCGGCAGTCTTCGGTGTGTCCGTTTCGCGTTCGCTCTGTACAAAACATACGGTGTAGCGGTAGGCAACAACGGATGAAACGTTGCAAATAGATTCTTATTAATTAAACGTTATGAAAAACTGCAGGTTTTAAGTGGGGCTTCCCTATTGTTTGATTACAATTCCCGATGCAGGCCGAAGGAGTAAGTGAAGAAACTGTAATTTCTTTATTTTATTATAGGAAGTAATTTTCAATATTACTTGTGGCATTGGCATGTTAGGATAGGTATATGTAATGAATGAATGGTTTTATTTAAGTTCAAACTAAATTAGATAAAAATATAGGCATTGTTTTTGTAGTAGATTTCAAATTGATATATGATTAAAAAAAAAATGTGTGCGTGTACTAGTGTACACACGTAAGAAGTGAAACTTCTTTATGGCCTTATTTTTTTCGAAAAATGATGTACATGCAACTTTCCAGAAATATATATATAGGCGTGCGCTAAGATTTTTCAAAAACTCACCCACTAAAGGGGTATAACTACACCTTACCTTACCTTACCTTGTGTGAAACACGAATATTTGCTGTCGATACTTTTTTTTTTAAAGTTGACAGAAGAAGCAATTGTTCGGATGAGGTAAATAGTGCTCTTTTAAAAAAAGATGGCGCGTAACCAAAAAACGTGACGCGTAACCGAATAAAAATGTGACGGTAAATTTTTTTCCAACGCCGATAAAGAAGTTTCACTTCAAGGAGTGCATTATTCGCCAATAAACTGTTAATCAGTTTGGCGAAATTATAAATTATAGTTAACAGTTTAAAATTATATTTGATAAATAAATTAAAAAAACAAAAGATTTGGCTATGCGTGTTTGTTATTGGTAAACTTGACACCAGTCGGTCCTTTTCATTCCTCATAAAGCATGATAAGGACAGACTGTTGTCAAGTTTACAAAAAGCAAACAAGTACAGCCAAGTGAAGGGGCAGCGTAACGACAGAATAGTCTTTAGTTAGTTTAACGATAAAAAGTAGCCCATAAACGTCTCCAAAGTATCATATTTTTTTGAAAATGTAAAATAATCGCTTCAGTAGTTTGAAATATTTTAATGATCCTTAAAAAAATAATATAATACGATCACTTAAAAATACAATTGGTGACCAAATTATGATTATTTATACTAAAAACAAATAAAAATCAGACTGGAATTGAAGCAGTGTTCTTAGCTTTTAAGGCGTAATCACTGACCATTAAGCTTCCAAATCTATTAAATTACAATAAAATTTGTGACTCTGTTTTATGACTTGGATCGTTGTAATTTATCTATAAATACTTTAAAGACAAAACTAAATAGTATATTGAAGGTAAACCAAAAAAAGTGGTATTAAAAATCTGTTATTGTTGTTAGATTTTTAGGATTATATGTCATTAAATCTGATTATGGCGAGACTCTTTTTACTATTATGTAAATAAATGTACTAAGCTTTGGGCACTGTTTGGTCTATAAATCATCATCATCATCATCATCATCATCAGCCTATTATTGTCCCTACTGTTGGGGCTCAGGCCTTCCCTATGGATGGATCAGGGGGAATGGGCCATGATCCACAAAGCGGGCCCAGTGCGGATTGGTGGGTGCTAACGTCTGCAGATGCAGCCGGGACCAACGGCTTAACGAGCCTTCCAAAGCACGGAGGAACTCGAGATAGTAATTTATGGTCACCCATCCAATGACCGACCACTGTGAAAGTTGCTTAAGTTCAACAATCGCAGCCGAACGCGCTAACCATTTGCGCCATCGAGCTCCTCAATATTCGTTTTCTTTATAAATATTAATTAATATTCATGAACCACAATATTATGTAAATGACTCCTTAAATAAAAAAAAAAAACATTATTATTCCGACGATGCATTCCTGCAAAGGCTGCGAAACGTAACGAAATAAAAAAATAAAATCAGTGCATCTAACCCGTTGAAAGTTGTTTTATTTAATGGATGATGTACGTGAAAACCTAAGAAACAAAAAAATAACTCCTTTGCCAAAGTGAATGAGAAATAAACGTTGATTGTATAATATAAAACAAGGTGTCGTTCTCACGTCAGCACTGGGCGGGCGGTCGTCGTCGTAGTCGTAGGGCGAGGCGGCGTTGGAATTGGTTCCCGGCATCGTGATCATGGGTCTCGGCTGCCCCGCCTCCGCTCCCGCCCCCGCTCCCGCCTGTGGGCATAGCGCTAACCTATCAAGCGGTCCTGGAGTAACCCCCCCCACCACCTCTACACCATGGTGGCTTTCCAATTACAGAGCATAATGCGACTCAGTGGCGCAAAATGCCGAATTATTTTGATGCTTAATTGGAACGTGAATTAGTTTTCAAATGCACCAGCAGAGTGCGCTAAGTTCAGTGTTGAAAAAAAAGTCAATGTTTGTACCGTCATCCATATTTATATTTAATTTTTTAACACTGTTTGAATTAATTTTGATTATTAAAAAAAAACTATAATGAAAGGAAAGTTTTGATAATTTTTCAACAATAAATAATATTACTAACGATAACATATAAATAAAACATTTCGATCAATGCCAACTTAAAGAAAAAACACTGTCTCTGAGTTGGTACGATTGCACGCATCACACGAAAGCATTACTTTTGAGTGTGCTCGATTGTGCGAAGCGTTGCTGTAGTTGAAACACTCAACGTTAAGCATTATGCCGCATAATGCGCTATAATGCTGTAATTGGAAAGCTACCCATATAAGCGTAGGATTGCCAGGTGGCCAGTACTCATCAAAATAGGTATGATGACTAATTTTATTTTCTCCGTTCATCAGGTAGATTATCAAAAAGTATTGGACACGTATTTTTTCTTTTTTCACATAATATAAACATTGCAGGAATATATTGATTTGAAAAGTCGCATGACGTCACCTTTGAGTACACTTTTAAGTGAAAATTCACTAAAAAGTGACGTCACGAGCCCCTACTCCCAAACTTTGACGCGCTCTAACTTTGTCATTTTTTGGTTGATTGCCCAAAGAAAAAATACGTGTCCATTATTTTTTGATCATCTAACTGGCGGACTAAATAGAATTTCGTTTACTGTACCCCGTCATCACCCCTATTGCCGGAAGGAAAATATGGATAAAATGGCCCGGAAAATTTTAATTGTAATTTTTTGAAGTGAAACTTCTTTACGCACGCTTGACTTGGGAGGGTAAGCTGGCGAAAGCGTTACGCGTTACGAAAAGTATGTTCGGGCGAGGCGAACGGGAGTTGAGTGGGAGGTATAAGCAAGAGATAGCAGTGCGCGGGCACATTTTCTTTCTCTCTTTCTCTTATAGCTAGTTAATGAAATATGTATATGTACATACATGTATATATTGTGTGTATATATATATATATATACATTACAAATGAAGCTAAAGAAGTTTCACTTCAGTCGTGTGGTCATAAGTACACCCTTTTTTTTTAAGTTCAGGGACGTATTTGGGCTACGAGGGGGAGGTACAGTCACCCGAACGTGACACTGATGATTTTGATAAAAACAAGGCTGTCTCCCCCCCATTTAGACTTCAAACAGACATTGAGTAATACAGATATCGTAGGGAGGGTACTCTGTGCAAGCGGTATATAACCTGTTAGGTTATACAGGGAGACGATTTACAAAATCCGACAGAATCTCGTTTCTTTAACATTTTCTGTTTAAAGCGAAGGATGTAGGACAAACGAAATTTGCATCTTTTTAAAATGACTTTGTAAATTGACTCCCTGGTGTAAATAAGCAGTAAAGATTTTGCATTGCTTGCAATATTTTAATTATAATTCAAAATTGGTTATTAGTTCTAGACTGTTACAAGAATTTGTTCAAGTTTAATTTAAATTAATAACTGCAACTGATTGATGTTTTCAAGCTGAGAAGCGTGTTGCTGTTAATAAATAACTTCGAACTTAGAATTTCTTTGAAATATCAATTAAATTTAATGCCACTGCATGTTTGAAGCGAGCGAGAATTTAACATAAACGTAGTAGAAAATGATTGAAGTATATTTTAAAATATGATAAATCATATTTAAAGTTTTGTTATTCGGTAAGTATTGTAGATTATAATAAATCGTACTCGAAAACTCACCTTTGGCTTTAACAAATAAATCAGTCGAATGTCAAGTCAAAGACTTAAGTTTTACTACACATCGATTTTATTGAACAAGAGTAACATTTAAACGATTCGAATATAATATAAACAACTGAGAAATGGACATCCATTTTTATCAGTTTTCAACACACAATAATATAAACAACAACAGAGGCTATCACGAAATACTTTCAGTGGTGTTTTTTACTATACACAACGCACTTTTTTTCGTTTCGAGCAAGCACACCTTTCATTTGAGCACTGCCACAACTCATCTCACTTGTTAGGGGACACTAATTCAGTTCAGGGATCGGTTCAGGATGGACAGAATGTTCAGGTTAGCTAACTTAGTTCAGGATGGACAGAATGTTCAGGTTAGCTAACTTAGTTCAGGGATCGGTTCAGGATGGACAGAATGTTCAGGTTAGCTAACTTAGTTCAGGGATCGGTTCAGGATGGACAGAATGTTCAGGTTAGCTAACTTAGTTCAGGGATCGGTTCAGGATGGACAGAATGTTCAGGTTAGCTAACTTAGTTCAGGATGGACAGAATGTTCAGATTAGCTAACTTAGTTCAGGGATCGGTTCAGGATGGACAGAATGTTTAGGTTAGCTAACTTAGTTCAGGGATCGGTTCAGGATGGACAGAATGTTCAGGTTAGCTAACTTAGTTCAGGGATCGGTTCAGGATGGACAGAATGTTTAGGTTAGCTAACTTAGTTCAGGGATCGGTTCAGGATGGACAGAATGTTCAGGTTAGCTAACTTAGTTCAGGATGGACAGAATGTTCAGGTTAGCTAACTTAGTTCAGGGATCGGTTCAGGATGGACAGAATGTTTAGGTTAGCTAACTTAGTTCAGGGATCGGTTCAGGATGGACAGAATGTTCAGGTTAGCTAACTTAGTTCAGGGATCGGTTCAGGATGGACAGAATGTTCAGGTTAGCTAACTTAGTTCAGGATGGACAGAATGTTCAGGTTAGCTAACTTAGTTCAGGGATCGGTTCAGGATGGACAGAATGTTCAGGTTAGCTAACTTAGTTCAGGATGGACAGAATGTTCAGATTAGCTAACTTAGTTCAGGGATCGGTTCAGGATGGACAGAATGTTTAGGTTAGCTAACTTAGTTCAGGGATCGGTTCAGGATGGACAGAATGTTCAGGTTAGCTAACTTAGTTCAGGGATCGGTTCAGGATGGACAGAATGTTTAGGTTAGCTAACTTAGTTCAGGGATCGGTTCAGGATGGACAGAATGTTCAGGTTAGCTAACTTAGTTCAGGGATCGGTTCAGGATGGACAGAATGTTCAGGTTAGCTAACTTAGTTCAGGATGGACAGAATGTTCAGGTTAGCTAACTTAGTTCAGGGATCGGTTCAGGATGGACAGAATGTTTAGGTTAGCTAACTTAGTTCAGGGATCGGTTCAGGATGGACAGAATGTTCAGGTTAGCTAACTTAGTTCAGGGATCGGTTCAGGATGGACAGAATGTTCAGGTTAGCTAACTTAGTTCAGGATGGACAGAATGTTCAGGTTAGCTAACTTAGTTCAGGGATCGGTTCAGGATGGACAGAATGTTCAGGTTAGCTAACTTAGTTCAGGATGGACAGAATGTTCAGATTAGCTAACTTAGTTCAGGGATCGGTTCAGGATGGACAGAATGTTTAGGTTAGCTAACTTAGTTCAGGGATCGGTTCAGGATGGACAGAATGTTCAGGTTAGCTAACTTAGTTCAGGATGGACAGAATGTTCAGATTAGCTAACTTAGTTCAGGGATCGGTTCAGGATGGACAGAATGTTTAGGTTAGCTAACTTAGTTCAGGGATCGGTTCAGGATGGACAGAATGTTCAGGTTAGCTAACTTAGTTCAGGGATCGGTTCAGGATGGACAGAATGTTTAGGTTAGCTAACTTAGTTCAGGGATCGGTTCAGGATGGACAGAATGTTCAGGTTAGCTAACTTAGTTCAGGGATCGGTTCAGGATGGACAGAATGTTTAGGTTAGCTAACTTAGTTCAGGGATCGGTTCAGGATGGACAGAATGATTACTTAGCGGTGCTTGCGGCGATTGGGAGCGGATATCGCTCGTCGAAACACCCGTCGGAGAGTGGTCGCTATCGTACGAAGCCGGCGTCTCGCCACTCGCCGCCACGCCGGCTGTCACTAGGACGGCGCGGGCTCGTCTATGGGGAAAGTTCGCGCGCCCGACACCTGGTACGCGGCGTGGAGGGAGCGCGGGGGAGGGGGCGCCGGGAGGGGGGCGTCCAGGGGGTAGGTGCGCGGGGAGGGGGCGGGGGAGGGGGCGGGGGAGGGGGCGGAGCGTCGGGACACTATCTCGCGGTATCGCTGCAAGCTGAGCTCTAGCGACGCGCGCGCTCGTCGTCGCTTGGAAGCGTCGTCTTCTAGCAGGGCCGAGGGGTCTCGGTCTCGGTCTCGGTCGGGGTCGGAGTCGGGGTGGGCCCCCACCGGCTCGGGCTCGTCGATGGGGTAGGTGCCGCCGAAGACCAGCGGCCCGTAGCGCCCCGCCCCGCCCCGGGCCCACCCCTCCACCGTGTTGGCGACCAGCGCGCCGCACCGAGGGCGCCCCGCCCGACGGAGGCCCCGCCCCGGGGACCTTTCGCGGGGCCCCGGCAGGGTCGGCCGCAGGGCGGGGGCGGGGCGCAGCCGGCGCCGCAGCAGCGGGGGCGCGCCCTGTGCCGCCCCCGCACACAAACACAGCGTTAGACTCGCGGCGTAACGTAACGTAACGACGCAACCCCCCCTCCCCCATATACTAAACACCGCGCGACACGGCCTACCCCTAAATCGCCCGGCGACTGCTTACACTTAAATATAATCCCCCAAAAAATTATGTTCTGTCCAACTACGATAAAACTTAACTAATAATCGGAACATTTAACATAATCGAGGTTTCCTCTCATCGATATCAACATCAGTAAAAACAAACAGGCAAAAGCATTCACTTAAAAAAAACTCCTTACCCTACAAAACAGTATATAGAACTATAGAAAAACAAAAACAGGAGAAATAGAAAATCTTACCTCCCCATAACCGTAATGTTCCGTGGAGCCCTGCCAGTAGTTATCTGCGTAGGAGCGGTCGTCGTAGCCGTAGCCATCCGTCGGTGCTTGATCCTGACCGTAGACTTGACTCTGTTGAACATAATCCTGACTCTGTTGAACATAATCCTGACTCTGTTGCCCATAATCCTGACTCTGTTGCCCATAATCCTGACTCTGTTGTCCATATTCCTGGCTCTGTTGGGCGGGCTCTTGGTAATGTTGGGCTTGGGTATCGTACTCTGGATCGGGCGGTTGGGGATAGTCCTGGTTTTGATAATATTGTCCGTAGTCGGGGGCGGTGTCGGCTGCGGCCGGCTCGGTGTATGTCGCCGCCGGCTGTTGGTACTGTTGCGACTAGAAATATTTACTAAATTAGTATTTTATAACTTGACCAGAAAAATAAATAAGTCTGGCCTAAAGAAACCTCAAACTACTAGAAAAGTATCAAGGGCGGATCCAGAGGGGGGGTCATGGGAGTCATGACCCCCCCCTGGGCTGGGTCCGTCTGTACCCACTGTGACTTGACCAAGACTATATAACCCCCCCCCCCCCCCTGGCGCCAAAGCTGGATCCGCCCTTGATAAGTAGGTAGTAGAAAACCATTGAATTTGGATTTATAATACTTCCCGCCTTATTCCAAAATGGAGACTAAAGTTAGTCTTGGTTTAAACCTTATGTTGTCAATGTCTTCTTTTAAGGAAACAAAAGTAGCAGCATAATTTTTAGTCCAGGTTTAACTTTAATCTACGTTTTGTAATAAAGAGTTGATTTTATATTTGCATAAAAGTGGCCAATATACTTCATAGAATGAGGATCATTACTAGGTTTGCAATTCAACAAAAATCTACAGTATAATGATCTAATAAGCTTTTTAATTAATATACTTTTTAAATCGTCGAAATCGATTCATTCGTCTCGATTTTATAACTAATTTTAGGGTAGCCAATATTCACCGGCGGCCGAAACTTGTGACGTCACAGCGCTCGATCGTGGTTCACTCCGGTCGAACTTCAGGAGTCTCTTCGCACACTCGTGCCCGAGCGCTAGAGCTCTGTGACGTCACAGCCACCGCGCGGCCAGCCGTAAATTCGTTTAGTAATTTGGTCATAACTTCGTCAATATTTGTCGTAGAACAAAAGCTTAACCACTGTATTTTATGGAATCCTTAGCTCTATAAATCTGCATTCACAGCTAAAATCGTTACGGATTCTCATTTCCATATACTGAAATTGGCCAAAATCTGTTCTAAGATTTAGGCGTGATAGTAGACTAAACATATAGTAGCTGGGATTTTTGGATTTACTCGATCGCGGCAGAATAACATATGGGGAGCAACCTTGCACCTAGTTAAGTACTCCCACTATACCTGATCCATCTCTGTAGGGCTGAACGTCTAGGGCAGCAAAAACAAAATTTCAACAAACGGCCATGACTTTTGGCCGAGTCCAAATCGTCAGTCTTTTGAATAAGAACTACTGGAGGGTTCACGTAACATCCCTTCTCAATGTCTGACGCGCTCGGTTATTTTTTCCTATATTCTACCCCTTCGTACGGCCACCCCCATATCATGCAAACCGCGGCAGATCAATATTTTTTCCGTTCTTAGAAACGTTACATGAACCCTTTAGTAGCTTATATTCAAAAGACTGACGATTTGGGCGAGACCAAAAGTCATGAAATTTTGTTTTTGCTGCCCTAGTCGTTCGGTCCTACATAGAGGGATCAGGTATAGTGGGAGTACTTAACTAGGTGCAAGGTTGCTCCCCTTAAGTTATTCTGCCACACTCGAGTAAATCCAAAAATCCCCGCTTGGACTCCCCTACTATTCGTATGTAAGTATCTCTTATCTATTAGACAAGTCCGTCCATCCGTCCGTCCGTCCGTGGTGCTGTTTCAGCGGCCAAACCGTAAGAGAAAGATAAAGAGAATGTTTAAGTTATAAGTTAAGAATAGTCTGATAAGACTACAAACCGGATGTGAGTAACGTAGCACTTCCGGTTTTCGAGAAATCACGTGATCTCTATTTCAAACGAAACCACACAAAATCTCCGAAGTTCTCAATTAATTAAATACATTTTTTTTTTTGTGAACATTTGGTTCACTGGTTTGCTAGTTAATGTGTAATTCATCGTCCTCATTCAGAAATCAACTGAGTTTAGAGTAATTTTTTAACCGACTTTAAAAAGGAGGAGGTTCTCAATTCATCTAATATATAAAATTCTCGTGTCGCGGTGTTTGTGGTTAAACTCCTCCGAAACGGCTTTCCCGATTCTCATGAAATTTTGTGTGCATATTGGGTAGGTCTGAGAATCGGACAGCATCTATTTTTCATCCCCCTAAATGTTAAGGGTAATCCACCCCTATTTTTTTTTATTTTTTTTATGATACATCATACAAAAATACATACAAACCTAAATTTTCACCATTCTACCACCAACCCCTACTTTATTATGGCGGGACGAAGTTCGCTGGGACAGCTAGTAATCATATATTTTTTTCATTGCAAGGTAAAGCCATGTCTTATTCTACATGTCTTAGTCACCTGGTCTGTCCAACTATGTGTGGCAGCGACGGGTGTAGGCGCGTAGTATCCGGGCGCGTGGTGCTGCGGAGACAGCTGCGCCTGCGTCTGTACACAACATACACACACTCACACTCACACACTACACAAACTGGATGGACAGCATACGAGTTCCTGTTAGTATTCGAGTCAAAGCTTAGGGGTGAAAGGGCTTGCAGATCGAATTGAACAAACTTCAAATAAAACAGTTATAATGAATGCGATTCAACTAAGAATAGGACCGATTGAGCGCCATATTGTGATGTCATAGCTGTCAATTCAAACCAAATAGGTAGAGTGAGCAAAAAAGTTTTTATTTAATAAAACTTATTTTTACTAAGATTATGTGTGAAAAAGCATCAGATTTTTTTAATAACATTTATATACTAAGATTGAGAAAAAAAAAACATCGATTTTTTAATAATATTTATTTATTAAGACTGTGAGAAAAAACATTAATCAGAATCTAGCTCTTCTATTCCGCTCATCTCTGCATTACCGCCGGAGTAGTTATGAATAATCATGCACTATTATTAGATCACATACGAACATGCATCTTTTATGTAAACGAAAGTTTGAAATTTGGTTGACGATTTAGGCCATTCATGGCCAAAGCTCAATAAGTGAAAAAAAAATATCAACCGACATTAATCATTGTTTGTTTACAAATGTTTGGTTTTATTCTAGAATTAGCGGAGTGCTAAAAATGGGTTCCAAGTTTTTTTTTGCAAACCGTACTTTTCAAGCGACATTTGACATATAGAGGACATTGGCTTTCCTATTCTTATTTGAATCACATTATACAAGTGGTGCTTGCGGTTTCGTCATGTAAAATGTACATAACATGATCGGTATGCCATATGAACACCAATGGAATAACAATATAGTAGTAGATAATATCGTTTATACCTGCAGCGCCGCGGTGACGTCATCGAGCCAGTGGTGCCGCGGGGAGGAGTCCACCCCCTCCCCGGCCTCCTCCCCCAGCCCCTCCTCCGCCGACATGCCGTCCGAGTACCGCAATCTGAACACACACAATAATCATGCTTTATATTCAATACGGTTAAATTAAATTATCGTGTAAAAATTGCTTGAAGAATTTTGTTAAACTATAGGATATTTGACAAGTTTAAAAAAATGATCTTACGTTATTGACTAATGTTTATGAAGTCCGCATAAAGAGGATATTCATCATTCTGTTTTGTATTTCAGTAAAAATAACCAAATCAAAAATTCCATTTTCAAGTTGCCGCGAAAATGTTTCTCTGGACAATATGGCGTCTTACTAGTGTGTGACGTCACACGACTGTTATTAAAACGTCAAACGATACAATATAATGTCACTTTAACCGGAAGTTTACTTGCGTGTGACGTAATTTTAGGCTCCGCCAATCCCAATCGTTTTGTGTCACGTGACAATAGATAAGAAAACTATTATCTTTTTCGTTAGTTTTTACTAAAATTATGAATATTTTTTTTGTAAAAATTGTAAAAACCCCTGCCAATTTCATTCTAAACACAGATGCTAACAAATGGCACTTTATTTTTAACACTGTCAAATACTCTATTGACATATTGGCGAGGGCTCGCAGTAGGGCGGGCGGGGGCTGGCACAGCGTCAGGCGGCAGGCCTGCTGCGTGTGTGTGTGTATATACCTGTCGGCGAGGGCGGCGAGGGCGCGCAGTAGGGCGGGCGGGGGCTGGCACAGCGTCAGGCGGCAGGCCTGCTGCGTGTGTGTGTGTATATACCTGTCGGCGAGGGCGGCGAGGGCGCGCAGTAGGGCGGGCGGGGGCTGGCACAGCGTCAGGCGGCAGGCCTGCTGCGTGTGTGTGTGTATATACCTGTCGGCGAGGGCGGCGAGGGCGCGCAGTAGGGCGGGCGGGGGCTGGCACAGCGTCAGGGCGGCAGGCCTGCTGCGTGTGTGTTGTGTATATTACCTGTCGGCGAGGGCGGCGAGGGCGCGCAGTAGGGCGGGGCGGGGGCTGGCACAGCGTCAGGCGGCAGGCCTGCTGCGTGGTGTGTGTGTATATACCTGTCGGCGAGGGCGGCGAGGGCGCGCAGTAGGGGCGGGCGGGGGCTGGCACAGCGTCAGGCGGCAGGCCTGCTGCGTGTGTGTGTGTATATACCTGTCGGCGAGGGCGGCGAGGGCGCGCAAGTAGGGCGGGCGGGGGCTGGCACAGCGTCAGGCGGCAGGCCTGCTGCGTGTGTGTGTGTATATACCTGTCGGCGAGGGCGGCGAGGGCGCGCAGTAGGGCGGGCGGGGGCTGGCACAGCGTCAGGCGGCAGGCCTGCTGCGTGTGTGTGTGTATATACCTGTCGGCGAGGGCGGCGAGGGCGCGCAGTAGGGCGGGCGGGGGCTGGCACAGCGTCAGGCGGCAGGCCTGCTGCGTGTGTGTGTGTATATACCTGTCGGCGAGGGCGGCGAGGGGCGCGCAGTAGGGCGGGCGGGGGGCTGGCACAGCGTCAGGCGGCAGGCCTGCTGCGTGTGTGTGTGTATATACCTGTCGGCGAGGGCGGCGAGGGCGCGCAGTAGGGGCGGGCGGGGGCTGGCACAGCGTCAGGCGGCAGGCCTGCTGCGTGTGTGTGTGTATATACCTGTCGGCGAGGGCGGCGAGGGCGCGCAGTAGGGCGGGCGGGGGCTGGCACAGCGTCAGGCGGCAGGCCTGCTGCGTGTGTGTGTGTAATACCTGTCGGCGAGGGCGGCGAGGGCGCGCAGTAGGGGCGGGGCGGGGGCTGGCACAGCGTCAGGCGGCAGGCCTGCTGCGTGTGTGTGTGTATATACCTGTCGGCGAGGGCGGCGAGGGCGCGCAGTAGGGCGGGCGGGGGCTGGCACAGCGTCAGGCGGCAGGCCTGCTGCGTGTGTGTGTGTATATACCTGTCGGCGAGGGCGGCGAGGGCGCGCAGTAGGGCGGGCGGGGGCTGGCACAGCGTCAGGCGGCAGGCCTGCTGCGTGTGTGTGTGTATATACCTGTCGGCGAGGGCGGCGAGGGCGCGCAGTAGGGCGGGCGGGGGCTGGCACAGCGTCAGGCGGCAGGCCTGCTGCGTGTGTGTGTGTATATACCTGTCGGCGAGGGCGGCGAGGGCGCGCAGTAGGGCGGGCGGGGGCTGGCACAGCGTCAGGCGGCAGGCCTGCTGCGTGTGTGTGTGTATATACCTGTCGGCGAGGGCGGCGAGGGCGCGCAGTAGGGCGGGCGGGGGCTGGCACAGCGTCAGGCGGCAGGCCTGCTGCGTGTGTGTGTGTATATACCTGTCGGCGAGGGCGGCGAGGGCGCGCAGTAGGGCGGGCGGGGGCTGGCACAGCGTCAGGCGGCAGGCCTGCTGCGTGTGTGTGTGTATATACCTGTCGGCGAGGGCGGCGAGGGCGCGCAGTAGGGCGGGCGGGGGCTGGCACAGCGTCAGGCGGCAGGCCTGCTGCGTGTGTGTGTGTATATACCTGTCGGCGAGGGCGGCGAGGGCGCGCAGTAGGGCGGGCGGGGGCTGGCACAGCGTCAGGCGGCAGGCCTGCTGCGTGTGTGTGTGTATATACCTGTCGGCGAGGGCGGCGAGGGCGCGCAGTAGGGCGGGCGGGGGCTGGCACAGCGTCAGGCGGCAGGCCTGCTGCGTGTGTGTGTGTATATACCTGTCGGCGAGGGCGGCGAGGGCGCGCAGTAGGGCGGGCGGGGGCTGGCACAGCGTCAGGCGGCAGGCCTGCTGCGTGTGTGTGTGTATATACCTGTCGGCGAGGGCGGCGAGGGCGCGCAGTAGGGCGGGCGGGGGCTGGCACAGCGTCAGGCGGCAGGCCTGCTGCGTGTGTGTGTGTATATACCTGTCGGCGAGGGCGGCGAGGGCGCGCAGTAGGGCGGGCGGGGGCTGGCACAGCGTCAGGCGGCAGGCCTGCTGCGTGTGTGTGTGTATATACCTGTCGGCGAGGGCGGCGAGGGCGCGCAGTAGGGCGGGCGGGGGCTGGCACAGCGTCAGGCGGCAGGCCTGCTGCGTGTGTGTGTGTATATACCTGTCGGCGAGGGCGGCGAGGGCGCGCAGTAGGGCGGGCGGGGCTGGCACAGCGTCAGGCGGCAGGCCTGCTGCGTGTGTGTGTGTATATACCTGTCGGCGAGGGCGGCGAGGGCGCGCAGTAGGGCGGGCGGGGGCTGGCACAGCGTCAGGCGGCAGGCCTGCTGCGTGTGTGTGTGTATATACCTGTCGGCGAGGGCGGCGAGGGCGCGCAGTAGGGCGGGCGGGGGCTGGCACAGCGTCAGGCGGCAGGCCTGCTGCGTGTGTGTGTGTATATACCTGTCGGCGAGGGCGGCGAGGGCGCGCAGTAGGGCGGGCGGGGGCTGGCACAGCGTCAGGCGGCAGGCCTGCTGCGTGTGTGTGTGTATATACCTGTCGGCGAGGGCGGCGAGGGCGCGCAGTAGGGCGGGCGGGGGCTGGCACAGCGTCAGGCGGCAGGCCTGCTGCGTGTGTGTGTGTATATACCTGTCGGCGAGGGCGGCGAGGGCGCGCAGTAGGGCGGGCGGGGGCTGGCACAGCGTCAGGCGGCAGGCCTGCTGCGTGTGTGTGTGTATATACCTGTCGGCGAGGGCGGCGAGGGCGCGCAGTAGGGCGGGCGGGGGCTGGCACAGCGTCAGGCGGCAGGCCTGCTGCGTGTGTGTGTGTATATACCTGTCGGCGAGGGCGGCGAGGGCGCGCAGTAGGGCGGGCGGGGGCTGGCACAGCGTCAGGCGGCAGGCCTGCTGCGTGTGTGTGTGTATATACCTGTCGGCGAGGGCGGCGAGGGCGCGCAGTAGGGCGGGCGGGGGCTGGCACAGCGTCAGGCGGCAGGCCTGCTGCGTGTGTGTGTGTATATACCTGTCGGCGAGGGCGGCGAGGGCGCGCAGTAGGGCGGGCGGGGGCTGGCACAGCGTCAGGCGGCAGGCCTGCTGCGTGTGTGTGTGTATATACCTGTCGGCGAGGGCGGCGAGGGCGCGCAGTAGGGCGGGCGGGGGCTGGCACAGCGTCAGGCGGCAGGCCTGCTCGCAGTACGCCAGAGCTCGCTCGTACAGACCCGCGTCCGTGAAACGCGTCGCCAGCACCAGCTTATACAACTGTGCCAAAACCAAACAACACCAAACCATTACTAAATTGTTTAACATAAACAAACTTATTCACAAAAGCTGACTAAAATTAGTCCTAGTTCATACCTAATGCTGTCTTTGTCTTCTTATTAGCAAAAACTAGTGACCATTAAAGTGCATCAGTTTATTTCAATCATTTTTTAATAAGGCAAAAAAAAAAACGTTATAAAAACATTCAATCTGTATCAGTTAACGACACTATTTGGTAAATCTCCAATTCACTTCGACTTCAGACCACTTTTGTGAAACTGCGTAGAAAACACAAACTAAATTGCAATTTTAAATACATTCATAGGAATTAATTTATCAACTATGGAGATAAAGTAATAAAAGAGAACACAAATCTAAGATTAGCCATAATAGGGATGATGACGGGGTACAGTAAACGAAATTCTATTTAATCCGTCAGTTAGATGATCAAAAAATAATGGACACGTATTTTTCTTTGGGCAATCAACCAAAAAATGACAAAGTTATAGCGCGTCAAAGTTTGAGAGTAGGGGCTCGTCACGTCACTTTTGAGTGAAATTTCCCTTATAAGTGTACTCAAACGTGACGACATGCGACTTTTCAAATCAATATATCTCTGCAATGTTTATATTATGTGAAAAAAGAAAAAATACGTGTCCAATACTTTTTGATAATCTACCTGATAAACGAAGAAAAAAATATTAGTCATCATCCCTATTCCATCTGCAGTCGATAGCAGTTCGATTCGAATTAAAGCAGCATTAAAGTGAACGCAGACTTGGCCGCACCGCAGTCTTGGCATTCGAATACTTTATATGAAGTTCTACGCAACCTCGCACACCCACCCGCGTCGCAGTCGCCGCAGTCCTTGCAACGACCGAACTCCCCGATCCGCAGCTGATGACGTCACCAAAGCCGGCCCGCATGCAGCGGACGCTGCGGCTAACGCGGCGCGGATGACGTCATTCGCATCAACTGAACGAATGAAATCAAGTGCGATGCGTGCGGCGACGGGAACGACTGCAATGACTGCGGTGCGGATAGACGTGCGAGGCCATTAACACAAAGCGATGACTGCGGGGACTGCGGAGACTGCGGTGCTGCCAAGTCTGCGTTCACCTTTATAGCCTAGTTTTCAAAGAGAACGAAACAATGTACAAATACTCCAACCGCAGTGCAAACATACCAAGAACTCCTTGATGACGTAGTCCTGGTTGAGCGACAGCGCGTACTCGTATATCTCCGTCGCAAAGATGGCCTCGTCGGTAGCGAACTGCTGGAAAGTGGGCGCCTTGTGGTCGGCCAATAGGAGGCATAGGCGGGGGACGGAGACGGGGGAGGGGGAGGGGGGCTGGAAGGGGGCCAGGGGGTGCGGGGAGAAGGGGACGCCCGCGGAGATGTAGCAGAACTGCGCCGAGTAGATCAGCCCTTTGGCCGACAGCGTGTCGCCTGCGCAGGACAAATGTACGCGGTAAAGGACGGTATACAGTGCGACAACGATTTTCATAAATGTGAAGTACGAAGTTCGCTGGGTCAGCTAGTATAATATAATATCCCCGTTGACGCCATGAATTTAACTGAGATCGCATCCAAGCAACGATTTGCTTGTAGAACACTGCAGGTCTCGTACACGTAGCGTCGGTGTCGTAATGATACGCTTGTGACCCGTGTGAGAAGCGTCTTAAATGTGTGATGCACTTAGATTGAAACAAAAAGGGATGAAACCTCGCGGCTCAAAAGTGACCGCTTAAATTGTGGTGCATGACCACAATAGGGGTGATGACGGGGTACAGTAAACGAAATTCTATTAAGTCCGTCAGTTAGATGATCAAAAAATAATGGACACGTATTTTTTCTTTGGGCATTCAACCAAAAACTGACAAAGTTATAGCGCGTCAAAGTTTGGGAGTAGGGGCTCGTGACGTCACTTTTAAGTGAAAATTATACCAAAACATGACGTCATGCGATTTTTCAAATCAATATATCTCTTCAATGTTTATATTACGCGAAAAAAGAAAAAATACGTGTCCAATACTTTTTGATAACCTACCTGATAAACGAAGAAAAAAAATTAGTCATCATCCCTATTCGCTGTAGTCACAATTATACATTCAAACACGATGCATGCGCACTCAATATAACAATAATGCGTATATTCTGTGCTATAAATATTAGCTGTGCAATTTTATAAAGAACACAAATAGTTGAAGATCAAATGACAAATGCCTCGGCAACACTTTTCATTCGTAAAACTGTAAAAACATTTTTTTCTCAAAAATCACGGTTTGTCGTGAATGTTATTTACGTTATCGCCATTTTGTTATCAAGAAAAGGACAACAATACAGCTCGCGTTCAGCCGTGCGGACATGGAAGCGTACAGTTCTGTCTCGCTCGCTCGATTGAATGTTTATTTGCAGACGTGTGCGTGTGTGAGTTGCTTATGTAGTTGAGTCGGATCATATGTTATTTGATGCTTGTATGAGCGAACGGTATGTTAATTTTTTAATATTTTTTTTCTTTTTAAGCATTTAACTGGCCAAAAAAATCCACCTGGCCAAGGCAGCGGACGGGACTCGAACCCGCACCCTTCGCAATCCGGGCGAATGCACTGACCAATTATGCTACCACGGCCCCGATGGCCGCGTCGAAATTTTCCTAGCCTCAAGCTGCAAGGCAGCGCCATCTCTTCGCATTGTAGGTAACCCACAATGTCACTATGTATGTTCACTTTTTGTTTTAGGGTGTATTCCGAAATATAAACCAGTACGCTGGCCAGTGGTAATGACGTCAAGATTTCAACGCCATATTGCACTGGTGTAGTAGTAGTGTTGTCAATATGGCGTCGAAATCATGACGTCATTACCACTGGCCAGCGTACTGGTGAGGCTGCGTTTCCACCAGAGATGTGCGATGGGAGGATGTCTAGCTGTGCTGTGAAAATGTGTGGGGATTACCACCAAAGCTGTGCGATGAAAATGTGCCTACGAGGATGTGTAGCGGAGCTATGAAAATGCGCATTAATGTGTGGTGCGAGGATGCGTTGCTTTATCATCTGCTTCCATTTCTTCATCGCAAATTGTTAAATATAATAAAAGTATCTTCTTTTTCCAATTATCCATATCTATTTTGTACACTTCTACTTCCAACAAACTCCGTCTATGGACTGGCTGGTACAGTATGCGCAAACCTCGCAACACATCCTTCTCAACACACATTCCTCGCAACACATCCCTCGCTTGTTTTGTATGCGCAAAAATCTAGCTCCGCTGAGCCGTTTCCACCAGAGCTGTGCTGACCGAGACGAGGTAAATGAAGCTATTCTATTGGTTTGTAGGAAGGCCAAAGGGGAAGATCTTCCTCCGAGCTGGGTGATGGTAGCTCGGGGGCCGCGGCCCGACTGATGTCGGTCGGGCATCGTATATATGAAGAGTTAGCCTCCGAATTTCATTTGCGCGATGTAGGCTTCCATTCCACTATTATGATCGCAGTGCAGGTAACGCCATCTCTTGAGGATGGTGAGTAATGATTTCGCTATGCATCCTCGCACATCTCTGGTGGAAACGCAGCCTTAATGTAAGGTGGTGCAGTACTGACCCAGCTGCGTGAGGGTCCGTCGATCGTGGTCGGGGCGGGAGGACGGGTTGGCCAACAAGATGGCGGCGTGCGCGCGCCAATCACGAGACACATTCTGCAAATTATAATAACACAATGAGGTTTTTCAAAAATAAGATATATAATAAATTTTTAGACGGACATGTAATTTTTACAATAAGAACTTGAATGAAGCAGATATTTTCAGTGAATCACTTTACAGCTTCAAAAGGAAAATAAGTGAATTATTGTTTAAATAGTTAACATGTGCGGCGGCGATGTATATCATATGTTTATAGTTATCCGTCACTTTTATGCCGCTTGAATATAATAATTATATATCAATTAATGGTACTTTAGGTCTATTTGTAAACATAAATTGTAAAATTGTTTGTATAAGACTGTTTGTTACCTGAATTAAATAAATAAATAAATAAGGGGCGCTAGATGGCAGCACTGAGGCTGAAATCGCATATTTTTGTCAGTATTGTTAATCTAACTCTTCAGAAACTAAACAGTCATGTGAAAATACTCTGATAATCGCTGTGTGTCAGGCAAAAGAGGTGTGCCGGTTGCTTATGAGATAATTCAAAAACTTCACGAAATCAATTCTAGTCGCAAAAGAATTAAACTGCAATGGGTCCCTTCACATATAGGTATTATCGACAACGAAGAGGCTGACCGCTTAGCAAAAGTAGCATCTATTGAAGGTGAAAATGCATTAGTGAAACCATTTTATTCCGAAACACTGGTGTCGATTCTAGCATGATTCTCTAAATCTAAACTTAAATTTGACAGCAGTATATCCTTGTCACTCTCTATACAGAATGAAAAGGAGAGACTGATGTCAAATTTAGTTTTAAGTTTAGAGAATCACGCCAGAATTGGCACCATTGTCAAAATATATAAATAGTTGTTATCTTTACTGGAAAAAATATTTTGATGAAAGATCAAAAGAAAAAGGAAAATGGTATAAAACCATACAGAGTCAGCCTCTACGAATACCGTCGTTTATTAATTTAACATTAAGTCGACACTTTGTAGTGACCTTAAATATATTTCGTTCTGGACATTATCCATGTAACAAGTTTGGATATCTTATGAAAAAAATTGAGTCTCCCAACTGTGAAGTATGCTGTGTTGTAGAAGAACTCCAGCACTTGTTGATGGATTGTGTCCGGTACCAGAATGAGAGACAAGAGTGTGTTAAGAAATGTAAATTGAATATGTCAGACATTGGTGTGTTTCACAGCATTCTGGCCCAACCGGTCTCGGAAGAGGCTAGAATCCTGTATCGCTTTATATGTCTGCCGCGACTTTCTTCCGACAATAACATATTAAGTTAATTATTGGCTTAGATGATTTGTTAATTTATATAAGTACACGATGGGACTGACATGTCTGTAAAGAAAAAATGGGTGCGTGTACTTATGTAGGCGCGTGAGAAGTTATCCTTCTTTGGCATCGTTTAAAATTAGTTTTTAATTGCATGCAAATAATTAATTACAATAAATTAATAAAAAGTCTGGAAAAGGACACAGTCAATAAAGTTCAGTTTTAATTTGAAAAAATAAATAAATAATCAAAATATTCAATTAAAATCGCTACTGAATATAATTTATTAGAACATATGTGATTTGCACTTGTATGAAACTCAAACACATATTCCGAATATACAAACTAGAAACATGTGGATAAATATTATAAATATGAATACCTATAACTGTTACTTTATTACAATAATAACATAAAAGTAACATTGAAAAATAAAGATGTGGTTTTTGGTTCTACTACACCAATGGTCAAGAGATGGCGCTGTAGTCTCCTGAATCGCGCTTTGGTTCCGTTGTTCCAGATTAATAAATACTTTTGATAGGCCTTTACAATGCAGTCGTTAGCACCCACTAAATAGAGATTCTATTTCTATTTTGTTGGTAGATTTTCTTAATGTGCGGTAAACACAAAAGTAACACGGTCGCTTTAGCGACCAACTTCATGCTGTTAATATTTTGAGTTACAGTGATGCGCGCGCATCTTAAAATTTCACTCTCATCATTTTTTCATAACGCGCCTAAAGAAGTATAACTTCAATAAAAGTCCTTTAAATAAAGAGAAACAAAAACTCTGATGATGAGGATTTAACGAGTCCAAGAAAACTTAAATGATTGAAGTACTTCCTAACTGGGAATAAAGAATACTCCGCTCGTTGGAGTAAGCAGTCTTCTTGTCAATTTCACAGGTAACTAAGTTACACCTATTAATGAATCTAATTAATTCTATATATGTAGCGACATGATTTTAATCAAAATGTTGCTACTTCTGTTAATACTGATAAGTTTCTTGCGCCCATTTTTCTTTTTAGCTAAATGATGTACTGAATGGGTGGTAGGAAAAAAAATATAGGACGATTCAAAAGACCTTTCAATAAGTCAATTTAAATATCCGTGCTTCAGAAGGCACGTTAAGCCGTTGGTCCCGGCTGCATCTGCAGTCGTTAGCTCACGTGGTGTGACACGGCCCAATCTCCCTATTCCATCGATAGGGAAGGCCTAAGCCCCTGCAGTGGGGTTATTATTATTGACGACCTCTGTGGCTGATTTGGACGCAGGGTTTCAGGGTGTCGTCTAATCGAGAGGTCCCGAGTTTGAGTCTCGGTGGGGGCAGATATTTGTGTGATGAATACGAGCATTTATACTTCAGTCATGGATGTTGAAATATACTTTTTATGAGTATGCGTATTCTATCAGTTGCCCTAGTATCCCATAACACAAGCTTACAGTGCTTACTTTGGGGCTAGCGTAATCGGTGTGACTGGTAGGTATTGATTTATTTCATATTATGATGATTGTAATGCGTCCCCGTCCCCGTCCCCACTGCAGTGCTTACCGTGGCAGCGGGCCCCAGGGACGTCACTCAGCGCCCCAGGGCCGCGCTCCGGGCCCGCGCGGGGCGGGGAGTGCTTACCGTGGCAGCGGGCGGGGCTCGCGCCTGTAGCGCGCAGTAGAGGGAGTGCAGCGGGTCGGCGGGCCCCAGGGACGTCACTCAGCGCCCCAGGCCCGCGCGGGGCGGGGAGTGCTTACCGTGGCAGCGGGCGGGGCTCGCGCCTGTAGCGCGCAGTAGAGGGAGTGCAGCGGGTCGGCGGGCCCCAGGGACGTCACTCAGCGCCCCAGGGCCGCGCTCCGGGCCCGCGCGGGGCGGGGAGTGCTTACCGTGGCAGCGGGCGGGGCTCGCGCCTGTAGCGCGCAGTAGAGGGAGTGCAGCGGGTCGGCGGGCCCCAGGGACGTCACTCAGCGCCCCAGGCCCGCGCGGGGCGGGGAGTGCTTACCGTGGCAGCGGGCGGGGCTCGCGCCTGTAGCGCGCAGTAGAGGGAGTGCAGCGGGTCGGCGGGCCCCAGGGACGTCACTCAGCGCCCCAGGGCCGCGCTCCGGGCCCGCGCGGGGCGGGGAGTGCTTACCGTGGCAGCGGGCGGGGCTCGCGCCTGTAGCGCGCAGTAGAGGGAGTGCAGCGGGTCGGCGGGCCCCAGGGACGTTACGAAGCGCCCCAGGGCTGCGCTCCGGGCCCGCGCGCCCCCGTACCACGACAGTACCAATGCGTGTCCCCACAGCGCGTGACTCAGGGCCCATTCTACACACACACACACACACACAATTTAGTGACAATTCAGAGTGGGCGCCACTATCTACGCAAATGACATACGTAATATGACGTTTAAAAAGACGACGGCGTTAGTTCCAATTTTCGCCACATTCATAAAGATTTTGGTCGTACTGTAAGCGCAAGTAAATGTGTCACAGACAGACGCGGCTGCGGCTAGCCCTTAATGGCCGCTTCGCTTACATTGCAAGTAATACAACTGGCCGCGACCGCAAGCCGCGCCTGTCCGTGAGGCACTTAATATGTCGCGGCCAAGAGTTCTACTTTCAAATCGGTTATTTAAAATTGCATCTCGGTATGCGGACTTAGTCGTACTCGACTCGGCTTCTACAGTTCCGAATCGATTTCAATACTGTCAGCATAGTGGAAAAATATAAAATATCACAAAAAGAACTCTTAATACCGATACTCTATCTCTTTTACCACGGCTATAAAAACGTCCATAACAAGAGAAAAGAAAGCAAATTTTAATGGATTTAAAAAAGTATTAAGCATCCAATTTGAATAGAGATTTGAGTTTGAATTTCATTCGAAAAATATTTTGTTTTAAATGGATTGCAATGTCATACGGTATGTATAACATAACATACCGTATAACACACCGTTATGAATATTTGATAGTTTTGATGTTTGTTTTGTAAATCAAAAAAAAAGAAAAGAAAAACAGAGTTGTGTTGTCGTTGAGGTCATAGACATTTTATCGTAGACAGAGAATAGGATATAGGCTATTCTCTGTCTATACATTTTATTTTCTTCTTTTCGTTTTGGTTGTTATGGTTTCTGTATATGTATGGTAATTTTGTAAATAATTATAAACTGTTTATAAAGTATTTCGTATCATCTCTGTTGATTGTTGGTTTCGGCCATTCTGGTTATTAGGTAGGTTATATATTATTTGAACTCGATAATAAGGTTTTTCATAAAATAAGTTTGTGTCTTTTTTGGTAGTTAGCTGCCTTTTTACTTCTTTATATACATATAAAAGACATTTAAAAAAAACTGATACTATATATAAAGAAGAATATCTGAAATTCATCAAACAATAAAATTATTTATTAAAATGAATTTTCTAATTCTAATAAATAAAAAAAAACTAAAGATGAGGCTGTATGGGCATTGATCCTTTTGCCTTCCCTGAAAAGGGAGAACTACAAAAAAAATTATTTCAGTATCTTTACGTAGGTATTATTAAAACTTTATGAATTTCCTAAACAAAATAATTTTGGCTTTAAAATACAATTACATATTTCTTGTATCATAAAAAACAAAGATTAAACAATAAATGAAAACCACTCACCAAGCGCTTCCTGGCGATTTCCACTTATGAGCAGCTCCCGAAACCGATCCACCGGGTCAACGCCGACATCGACACCGTCCGCTTCCGGCGCCGGCGCACTTTCTAAACCTGACGGAATACAAAACCCTTTCATACTGACATTACCTTCGACGCAAGTATTAGGCATGTGTCAAACCAAATGCGATATTGCACGTAGCAGCTAAAGACATTGTCATATCATATATGTCTCAAATATCATCTATATATATAAAACTCAAAGGTGACTGACTGACATAGTGATCTATTAACGCACAGCCCAAACCACTGGACGGATCGGGCTGAAATTTGGCATGCAGGTAGATGTTATGACGTAGGCATCCGCTAAGAAAGGATTTTGATCAATTCTACCCCCAAAGGGATAAAATAGGGAATGAAAGTTTTTATGAAACTTTGTCAATCGTAAACCGATCGGGCTGAGACTTTGCATACAGGTATAAGAAGAATCATAGATGAATGTCATTGTGTATAATACAAGCCTGAGAACAAAAACTGTAGTCTACACTTCAGCTCTACACCGAAGCGAAGCGAGGGCGGGCCGCTAGTATCATATATGTCTCAAATATAATATTATTGAAGTTATACTTCTTTAGGCGCGTTATGAAAAAATGATGAGAGTGAAATTTTAAGATGCGCGCGCATCACTGTAACATAAAAATTAACAGCATGAAGTTGGTCGCTTTAGCGACCAACTTCACGCTTTAGCGACCAACTTCATGCTGTTACTTTTGTGTTTACCGCACATTAAGAAAATCTACCAACAAAATAGAATCTCTATTAAGTGGGTGCTAACGACTGCATTGTGAAGGCCTGTTAAAAGTATTTATTAATCTGGAACAACGGAACCAAAGCGCGATTCAGGAGACTACAGCGCCATCTCTTGACCAATGGGTGTAGTAGAACCAAAAACCACATCTTTATTTTTTGTAATAAAGTAACAGTTATAGGTATTCATATTTATCCACATGTTTCTAGTTTGTATATTCGGAATACGTGTTTGAGTTTCATACAAGTGCAAATCACATATGTTCTAATAAATTATATTCAGTAGCGATTTTAATTGAATATTTTGATTATTTATTTATTTTTTCAAATTAAAACTGAACTTTATTGACTGTGTCCTTTTCCAGACTTTTTATTAATTTATTGTAATTAATTATTTGCATGCAATTAAAAACTAATTTTAAACGATGCCAAAGAAGGATAACTTCTCACGCGCCTACATAAGTACACGCACCCATTTTTTATATGAGGAGTTGGCGAACAAAACGGTATAATTACATAAAATTGGACTGGAGCTGTATAAAACTGAATAATATACCTCCAGAGAGCTTTTTAATATATAAGTTTAGTAATTTTAATACTGTTTTAGGCGGTTTTGATTGAAAATTATTCGAGATTCAAATTCAACGGGTACGAAATTTTCGGTCTGTAAAAAAAAGTAGTTTGACCAGATGCGTAATAGGGTAATTGATAGTGTTAAAAATAAAGTGCCAATTGTTAGCATCTGTGTTTGGAATGAATATTGGCAGGGGATTTTACTATTTTTACAAAAAAATATTCATAATTTTACTAAAAACTAACGAAAAAGATATATATACAGATAGAAATAGTGTTCTTATCTATTGTCACGTGACCCAAAACGCTTGGGATTGACGGAGCCTAAATTGACGTCATACGCAAGTAAACTTCCGGTTAAAGTGACATTACATTGTATCGTTTGACGTTTTAATAACAATCGTGTGACGTCACACACTAGTAAGACGCTATGTTGTCCAGAGAAACGTTTTCGCGGCAACTTGAAAGTGGGAGGTTTTGATTTGGTTATTTTTACTGAAATACTCAACAGAATGATGAATATCCACTTTTTACGGACTCCATAAACATTAGTCAATAAGTGAGATCGTTTTCTTAAACTTGTCAAATAAGCTATTATGTATACCGTTTTGTTCGCCAGCTCCTCATATCTGCCGCCCTGAAGCTAAAACGCGGCTAAATGACAGTAAATACTATTTCGTAACTATTCATCACATGACGGATTTTTAGACTTAAAGTATAAAAGATAAGAATACTTGTTAAAGACAGATTGATACAGAATTAAAAAATGGTTGCCTGTAAAGTCGGTTTTACGGGCGAAGATTTTACGTGACAACGTCTTTTTCTCGGTAGAATATTTATTGATATGAATATAATTAAATTGCACAATAGGAACAAGGAATTGAATGAAAATAAGAATTGCACAAATTTTAACTATAGAAATATATATAATACGTCAAAAAAACATATTACAATGCATTGTGCTTGTGAATACCATCGTAGCATGCAACCACGCTACGACGATTCGTAGCAAACTTGCTACACGGCTACGGGGTTCCAGCATGCTACGAGACTCATCGTAACGTTACCGAGCGTTACACTTTTTCATAAGTGACTCCCAGCCGCAACCTAATTTAAGACGTTGTCACGTCAAAAAAGTATAAGATGCAATTTAAGGCTGAAAAATCGCCCACATGCAACTTAGCCGCATTTTAGATTGAGGACGGCAGATATGGCGTTGGCAGACAGTATTTTTCCCATAATAAGGGGCCATCCATAAATTACGTCACACGTTAAGGGGAGGGAGGGGGTCGACGAAGTGTGACATCGTGTGACAAGGGGGTGGGAGGGGTCCTAAATTTCGTGACACCACATTTCAAAATCTATTATAATCTAACAAACGAAACTATTACTTTACGTAAACATTAACAACCCAAACGAGAACAAAGTGGTGCTATGCCAGTTATAAATAATTTAAAGGAGTTGGTTCAGTGTCCATGGACTTACGATTATTAAGTTTGTATCTTTAATTTAATTATAATGCTATTAATATTTTTTGTTTTGTTAATTTCTTTAATTAATGATGTCAATCGTTTTTTGTTTTGTTAATTTATTTAATTAACATAGTCAATTGTTTTTTGTTTGGTGATTTCTTTAATTAATATAATTAATCGTTTTTTTTTTGTTAATTGTTTGATTTGATGTTAATATTATTAAAAAACAATTTAAATGGAAATAAAACTGATTTCAGAACCGTTGTTTTCATTCAATAATTTTTAAATGTAAATTTGCACAATATGTGACGTCACACTAGGGAGGGGGGGAGTCTCATAAATGTGACTAGCTGTGACAAGGACGGGGGGAGGAGCAAAAAATCATGAAATTCGTGTGACGTAATTTATGGATGACCCCTAAAGTAGACATTCTAATTTGTTAGGTATCAAAAGTGACGCACCTATGTTTTCTACGGGTGCCGGATGCTCCTGCACGTCTGAAGGTTCTTCCTCGCGGCTGCCTGACATCGACGACTCGCGTCTACATTCTGAACACCACAAACACAAACGACAATCACAATCTCGGGAAAGGTTAAATAGGGGTGATGACGGGGTACAGTAAACGAAATTCTATTTAGTCCGTCAGTTAGATGATCAAAAAATAATGGACACGTATTTTTTCTTTGGGCAATCAACCAAAAAATGACAAAGTTATAGCGCGTCAAAGTTTGGGAGTAGGGGCTCGTGACGTCACTTTTGAGTGAATTTTCCCTTATAAGTGTACTCAAACGTGACGTCATGCGACTTTTCAAATCAATATATCTCTGCAATGTTTATATTTTGTGAAAAAAGAAAAAATACGTGTCCAATACTTTTTGATAATCTACCTGATAAACGAAGAAAATAAAATTAGTCATCATCCCTATTATTTGTTAATAACACTTTGTACTTTATCATGAAAGACTTTCTAACCCTTCTTGAGAGAAATATACACGTTTCTGAGGATATACATTAACTTTAAATAATACTTCTATAGCTCGTGTTAACATATCGCACGAGGAAAGTAGTAGTTTAAATAGCATAGTTTTTAAGTTATTGCTAATTTAAGTTTAACCAACTTAATTGTGTTGTGCAGTGAGAAAGAGTGTTTATCTGTGAGATGTTGCCACTTTGTGCAACCAAAACTATCAAACTATCAACTCTTTGCCAATGGTCATTAAGTGATAATTTCAAAAGTCAAAATTTAAAAAAAAACATTGTTGACGCCAAGAAAAGTTTCAAAGAGTTTATGTGGACATGTGAATCAAAGTTTCAAATGCGACGTTGCCAGCTCAGGTAAAGAGTAATTCATATTAGATAAATTACATCTAAGCATTTAGTTTGTATGAAAATAAAAAATGTTAAAGAAATTGGAATTCATAAAAGTGTCTGTATTGTTATTGCAAATACATATTGGGGGCAGCCGATATAAGTAATTAAAACGATTGAAGGGGCTGCAACGAGATTACGATAAATACACAATGAGGGCTATCGCGTATGAATCCGCCGCTAGAGGCGCTAGTGTAGCGTGAGGTCTCCGAAATGTCAAATGTTATTGCTTGTTGGTTGACTACGCGGGTTTATTTCTAATTAAAATAATGTTGTGAATAATTGGTAACAATTCGGCTTAATTATGGCAAATATGAGTTATGTGGCAATGAATGTCAGTTATTAAAAATTTGAGCTTTGAAAAATGATTATGTTCCCATTTTTTCCGAATAAAACGGAACTGCGCGTCACTGTGGCATGGCCTATTATGTTTAGGATATGGTTCTTTTGTGTTAAAATACGATCTAAATGTAACCTTTGATTTCATGTGCGTATTAATAAACTTCAAAAGTTACAATTTAGGACCTCACTCAACAGTGGCGCCATCTGGTGAGGCAGAAAACGGTAGCCCTCGTTACGAATGGGTTTGCTAATAGCGTAACGTACTCACGTTTGAAACCTTTGTCGGAAGCTTGTGGTCCGCGTATTCTTCTAGCTAGAGGGGCACATGAACAGCACACACAGTCATATAAGAAATTCACAGTTTATTGTTGACGAATTCCACTTGTTCGGTATACCGCACGTAAAGATTATTGTTATACGATGTAAGCGAGTGCGCGGGCGCGGAATGGAGTGACGTAGGTCCTCTCGTGTGATCGGTGGCTAACTGTCTGCGTTAGGCTAGTAAAAAACCACATTGGCAGATGCATCGTTCTCGTTGCGAACCTACCCACATTTAAAATAATAAATAAGTAACCACGATTAAGTGATAACGGAAGTGTCCATAGTAAAAAATGATCAATTTAATAGTCTGAATAACATGCCAAAGTTAGCGTATAACCTCATGAACACGGTGTATAGATCATTATTACAATCACAAACAAGTTTGACGTATGAGGAAGTATATTATAAAGTAGAACAGAGTACTGGTGGGCATTACAGTACTGGATACTTATAAGCAACAAGCATAACTGTTCGATGTTTGAATCTAAAGAAAATATTACTAGAAAAAATTCCACGCGGACCAGGCAGGACTCGAACCCGCACCCTTCGCTATCCGGGCGAATGCACTGACCAATTATGCTGCCTGATGGCCGTGTCGAATTCTTTCTAGCCTTTCTTAAGCTGCAAGGCAGCGCCATCTCTTCGCATTGTACCCACAATGCTTGCTAGCTATGTAACCAACATCACACACACACTTAGAGACACTTAATACATGTCGCGGCCAAGAGTTCTATTCTCAAATCGTTTATTTAAAATTGCATCTCGGTATGCGGACTTAGCTCGATAGCGCGGATGGTTAGCGCGATCAGCGGCGATCGTTAAAATTAAGCAACTTTCACTGTAGTCGGTCATTGGATGGGTGACCAAAAATCTTCTATCTCGAGTTCCTCCGTGCTTCGGAAGGCACGTGAAGCCGTTGGTCCCGGCTGTATCGCAGTCGTTAGCACCCGCCAATCCGCACTGGGCCCGCGTGGTGAGTCATGGCCCAATCTCCCTATTCCATCGATAGGGAAGGCCTGTGCCCCAGCAGTGGAGACATTAAAAGGCTGACCATGATGATGACTTATACAGCGTCACCGAGTTTGGGGACGACGACGATGAGATCCTAAGGGGACCTCAAGCCAAGAATTGGCGAGAATAGGGATGATGACTAATTTTTTTTTCTTCGTTTATCAGGTAGATAATCAAAAAGTATTGGACACGTATTTTCTCTTTTTTCACATAATATCAACATTGCAGAGATATATTGATTTGAAAAGTCGCATGACGTCACGTTTGAGTACACTTATAAGTGAAAATTCACTCAAAAGTGACGTCACGAGCCCCTACTCCCAAACTTTGACGCGCTATAACTTTGTCATTTTTTGGTTGATTGCCCAAAGAAAAAATATGTGTCGATTATTTTTTGATCATCTATCTGACGGACTAAATAGAATTTCGTTTACTGCACCCCGTCATCACCCCTATTACCTCTAAGGTATTCCAGGCAGACGGCATCTCCCCACGGGGGGAGTGGCCTCTCCGTCTGGAGTATCTAGACCAGTCGACCCTGCATTCAAAAAAAACGAGCGAGCCTTACAGTAGTCGCGTAGGCGGTGTAACATTTGAAACCTCACCTTATATTAGTAGACGGCCCGCGTGGTGGGTCAAGGCCTGTGCCCCAGAAGTGGGGACATGAATATGCTGATGATGAAATATACAGGGCGTCCCACGGCTACCTCACACGGAGGGAAAGTATATTAAATATTGAAGATAGGATATTTTACTGAAATAAGACATCATTTTATTTTTAATAACAACTATAATTGCATTCACAGTTTTTTTTTAAATCGCCTGCTACAACTGGGAATCAAACTCGTGAAATTTCGAAAAGAAAACAACATATTTTATGATAACCATCGAAAAGGTTAATCTTAAGGATTATTTTTTGCCAGATAATATAGCATTTTAAATGAAAGGAATGTCTTATTACGTAATAAAAATAATAAAGTGATATACAAACTGCAGTACATATGCTTTCTTTTTGAACTCACAGTTTCAATGCAATTGGCTGAAATTTAAAAAATAATAATTCGAAAATGGAACACATAAAATTTCAAGCGTCTGTTCTTTTGTTTTTTGTGAGTTTCATTTTCGTCTATTTGCCATTTTTTTTGTTAATTTACCTTATTTACTTACCATGGCGTCTTAAAATAAAATGGATTAAATGGAAGCCTACTTTATGAACCACAAATACATATTATCTTTGCGATGGTATCGTGAAAGATATCCTGATAGAGACGTACCTTCTCTCTATGTGTTTAAAAGTTTAGCGGATACTTAAAAAATTAAGGGCGTTTTGATATGCGCTTACAGAAACCACAGCAGCGGATGATAAAGGTCAACGATGATGATCAACATTTTCACTTAGTTTAAAGCGTTTCCGATTTTATGTTAGTTTGTGTTAAATAATTTTAAATTTAACACAAACTTAATTACAATTCTTTCATTTAAAATGCTGTTAATTAGCAAAAACTAATCCTTATGATTAACCCTTTCGATGGTTATCATAAAATATGTCGTGATTATTTTCGAAATTTCAAGAGTTTGATTCCCAGTTATAACAGGCTATTTAAAAAAAAAACTGTGAATGCAGTTCTAGTTATTACTAAAAATAAAATGATGTCTTCTTTTAGTAAAATATCCTATCTTCAATATTTAATATACTTTCCCTCCGTGTGAGGTAGCCGTGGGACGCCCTGTATATATATATATATATATTACCGTCATGCGAGGGTCGCGCGGCGGGCGCCTCGTATCCGTACTCGCGCGCGTTCTTCATGAGCAACTCTGCGATATCCGAACCAACCACCACCTGGACACAAAAAATATCTGTTTGAGTTAGCGAAAGCCATTCATTCCCATTAAAAAAGAAATCTATAACCACATACACATAACGGTTGACCATTTATTTCATTACTGTACATCATATAAATTAGTGTAGATTATGACGTCTATACGGATGCACTCATTACAATAAAAACATTTTTATAGTTTTTGTAAGAACATTTGTGAACAAGCAATAAACACGTAATTTTCGGTAACAATTTTATCATTTTAACATCCACTAAGCTCAGGCACTAACATATGGTCCTTCGAGCTATACCTCGCGCGGGTATATCGTAATTTTTGAGGTGAAAGAACAGTGAACATTGGAATACAGTAGTGAGTGAATTTAGTGGACTATCGAGCAATACCAGAAACACTATTTGGTCGAGCGCCATAAGGATGGGTTTAGTTTAATTGGTAAAATTGTTTCTATCTTATAATGTGTGGCGATATACCAGGAAAACTTCTCGAACCTACTTATCTGTGGGATTGATGTCGCCGTGGCACTGGCTGGTTACCGGAACAAACATTGTTTATGGTGCCTTTCGTGTAAAAAAAGTGAAACTCTTCCTTAAAAAAAACTGTCAAGATGTGTGTCAATACTTTTCTTTAATTATTATTAAAATATTCGGGACAATCGAAAAAACTACAATGTGACGTGCGCTTTCTGGAATGCCGGCAAAGCAGGGTCCAGCCGCCTCACATCACGCCCGTCAGAGACCACGCAACCCATCGTCTTGGAGGTAAGTGGGCGCTTCCTTTTTTCCTGGTATTGAACCACATAATTTATCATTTCGGTGTAATCCACCCCAGGTGTGGGCTATTTACACGCGCCACTATTGTTACTGATGTGCCGGCTGCGAAAGGATTCGTAGCCTTATATCAACAAGGGAACTTGGCTTGGTTGCCAGGTGATTCCATCATACAAGAGGCTTTATCATCATACAAGTAAGGTCGTTATATTTTTACTCTTTTCATCATGGAAGACTATATCAGCATCATCGAAACTCAAGGTGAGAACATGAACGCGATGGAAAAATTACTTACTAACTTTAAGAAAGATTTATCAGAGCGGAAGGCGGCCCCTATATCAAAAGGCGGTTTACCAATATTGGGCAGATTTTCAGGCAAATCATTCTAAATTAGACGAAATTACTGATAAATCAGCTTATTCATTTCACCGAAAATGATTATGAACAAACAAAGAAATATTATTTTGACGCTAAAGCATACATTGATAGCTTTTCTTCGAAGCCAAGTACAAGTACTCTTAACATACTCATTTAAAGGTCTTTGTGTTCGCTTATACAATAAAGTCCCAACCAATATCCAAGAGTTAGCCATAAATAAATATAAAGATATTATAAAAAAAACACTTATTAAAAAAGCTTATTACAAAGTGTCTGATTATATTACAGACAAAAATGCTTGGGTTTGAACTGTTCCAATCATTCCAACAGGTTTTCTATATTAAATAAATCATAATTGTATTGACGTTGTAACAACATAATGATTTGTAAATGTTGTTACATTAGACTTTTAATGTTGTGGAGTTTTTTTCGCTCGTTTTTCTCCGCAGCTAAAAAATATGTCCATAACGAGTGGTAGGGAAAAAAAATTTTTGGACGATTCAAAAGAGTTGTATTATACATCCAATTTGAATAAAGATATATTGATTTCTGATTTCATAGAACCTAAGGTTGACATTAGATGCTCAACACCAGTAGGCATAAGAGAGAAATCCACGCCTTATCCTGTTCGAACCTCGTCGAAAAAATAATATCTTTGTAAACATGAAACACGGGCTGCTCTTAACTTTATGTTTTATATGTTCTTTGAACATCAATGAAGGTGATATATTATATTTTTGTGTAAAATACTTGTTTTTTATACGATGGTGTAGTGTATAATGCGATTCAACTAAGAATAGGACCGACTGGGCGCCATATTTTGACGTCATAGCTGTCAATTCAAACCAAAAAGGTAGAATGAGCAAAAAAAAGTTTCTATTTAATAAAACTTATTTACTTAGATTAAGTGAAAAAAACATCTGATTTTTTTAATAAAATTTATTTACTAAGATTGAGAAAAAAAAAGGATTATTAATTATATTTATTTAATAAGATAAGACTGTGTGATAAAAATCATTAATCAGAATCTAGCTCTTCAATTCCGCTCATCTCTGCATTACCGCCGGAGTAGTTATGAATAATCATGCAAGTCACATACGAACATGCATCCTATATGTAAACGAAAGTTTTAAATCGAGTTTCTGAACGCAACATAAATTGAATTAAAGTGACATTTGGTTGACGATTTAGGTTATCAACCATTCATAGCCAAAGCTCAATAATATCAACCAATATTAATTATCAATATTTGTTATTGTTTGTTTAAAAATGTTTGGTTTTTATTCTAGAATTAGCTGAGTGCTAAAAAAGTGTTCCGAGATTTTTTTGCCGATTTTTTTGTACTTTTCAAGCGACATTTGACAGATGGAGGTCATTGGCTTTCCTATTCTTATTTGAATCGCGTTATAGTGTAGTGTGTCGGTCACTGACCCCATTCTGCCGCAGCAGCAACGCCAGCAGCTGCCACAGTAGCGCGTACCCGCAGCTGTCGCGCGTATTCGATGGCGCGGCGTTAACGCGAGACTCACAATACTCTATCACACTCTTCTTGTGAGTCACACCTGTATAGGAAATGCTGCTTTAGCGACCACAATTGAAAAATATCGAATAAGGGAAATTGACAAGGTCTCGAAAGCCTAAATTACCGAATAATTAGTTATTTACGTTTATGGACTCCTCAAATAGTGAAATTGTTTCATTCTGTTACGTATTTCGAAAAGAAATCAAGAGAGATAAAAGTTTTTCAGAGCAAACAATGAAATTTGACATTTTCAGCAAAGTTATTTCATTGGGAAGTGGGTCCGGGCGTGGGTATTTATCGCCTTGTATGTAATCTGTTTTAATGGGTCGCTAGTTGTCACAACTACGTCTGCGCCTTGCACTCTCGGCACACATTGTAGACCTAGGTTTTAAAATTTTAGACGGGTGACCGGTGCAGGAATATTGTCTAGCTTTTAGCGAGTAGGGTCTCGCTAATCTCGCTAAGTCATGGAGCTAGAAAGACTTACAGAAGTCTTGTATCCCCGTGTTGTTATTTTTGGTGGGCGTGTCAAGCCTTTTCTAGACATGAAAGAAAAAACGAAAATGATTGTTATTATTTCGTGTGTGGCTTACGTGAAGCCAAGTGCTCTGTTTTGGGACCTATTCCTTCAAAATATGTCTTGAACGTTACCCTTGACGAGCGGGCCGGGGTAGAGGCGGTAGGCGGGCGGGGCCGGCAGGGCGGCGATACACACGCGGGCGGTATATGTACAGGGGGGGGGGGGGGGACACACGTTACCCTTGACGAGCGGGCCGGGGTAGAGGCGGTAGGCGGGCGGGGCCGGCAGGGCGGCGATACACACGCGGGCGGTATATGTACAGGGGGGGGGGGGGGGGGGACACGTTACCCTTGACGAGCGGGCCGGGGTAGAGGCGGTAGGCGGGCGGGGCCGGCAGGGCGGCGATACACACGCGGGCGGTATATGTACAGGGGGGGGGGGGGGGACACACGTTACCCTTGACGAGCGGGCCGGGGTAGAGGCGGTAGGCGGGCGGGGCCGGCAGGGCGGCGATACACACGCGGGCGGTATATGTACAGGGGGGGGGGGGGGGACACACGTTACCCTTGACGAGCGGGCCGGGGTAGAGGCGGTAGGCGGGCGGGGCCGGCAGGGCGGCGATACACACGCGGGCGGTATATGTACAGGGGGGGGGGGGGGGACACACGTTACCCTTGACGAGCGGGCCGGGGTAGAGGCGGTAGGCGGGCGGGGCCGGCAGGGCGGCGATACACACGCGGGCGGTATATGTACAGGGGGGGGGGGGGGGACACACGTTACCCTTGACGAGCGGGCCGGGGTAGAGGCGGTAGGCGGGCGGGGCCGGCAGGGCGGCGATACACACGCGGGCGGTATATGTACAGGGGGGGGGGGGGGGGACACACGTTACCCTTGACGAGCGGGCCGGGGTAGAGGCGGTAGGCGGGCGGGGCCGGCAGGGCGGCGATACACACGCGGGCGGTATATGTACAGGGGGGGGGGGGGGGACACACGTTACCCTTGACGAGCGGGCCGGGGTAGAGGCGGTAGGCGGGCGGGGCCGGCAGGGCGGCGATACACACGCGGGCGGTATATGTACAGGGGGGGGGGGGGACACACGTTACCCTTGACGAGCGGGCCGGGGTAGAGGCGGTAGGCGGGCGGGGCCGGCAGGGCGGCGATACACACGCGGGCGGTATATGTACAGGGGGGGGGGGGGGGACACACGTTACCCTTGACGAGCGGGCCGGGGTAGAGGCGGTAGGCGGGCGGGGCCGGCAGGGCGGCGATACACACGCGGGCGGTATATGTACAGGGGGGGGGGGGACACACGTTACCCTTGACGAGCGGGCCGGGGTAGAGGCGGTAGGCGGGCGGGGCCGGCAGGGCGGCGATACACACGCGGGCGGTATATGTACAGGGGGGGGGGGGGGACACACGTTACCCTTGACGAGCGGGCCGGGGTAGAGGCGGTAGGCGGGCGGGGCCGGCAGGGCGGCGATACACACGCGGGCGGTATATGTACAGGGGGGGGGGGGGGACACACGTTACCCTTGACGAGCGGGCCGGGGTAGAGGCGGTAGGCGGGCGGGGCCGGCAGGGCGGCGATACACACGCGGGCGGTATATGTACAGGGGGGGGGGGGGGGACACACGTTACCCTTGACGAGCGGGCCGGGGTAGAGGCGGTAGGCGGGCGGGGCCGGCAGGGCGGCGATACACACGCGGGCGGTATATGTACAGGGGGGGGGGGGGGACACACGTTACCCTTGACGAGCGGGCCGGGGTAGAGGCGGTAGGCGGGCGGGGCCGGCAGGGCGGCGATACACACGCGGGCGGGCCGTCCGTCCACTGGATACGTGGCCGAAACCACCACAAGCTGCCGCGACGATATGCTGGCCTGCGCACACATCATACACGGTTTTTACATCATACTTCTTAACTAACATCGCCTTATTACACCTCGCTTACACCACGGTATAATACATGTATTTAGAATCTCTGCGGAAAGAGAATGGGCGTGGCGAAAAACGGAACTAACATTAAGATTTTTATTTGGCAATCAAACTCAGCAATCTGTAAAACTACAAAGTTTTGTATTGATACGAATTTGTTTGTTGTTGTGATTTCTTGCAGTTTTTTTTATATGTATTTAATCATGTCTAAAAGGGGTAAAACCTTAGAAATACGGTAGGAAAGCACTACAGCGCCCTCCAATCTAAATCCCATTCTCATTCCGCACAGACTCTAACAAATTGTATACAATGTCTTCATTTTTTCTTCACACACAATACATGTATGATACATATAGTATGCAATACTTGCATCAAACTTGTTGCATAAACAAAATATGCGAATTAACATAGTGATTTATACTTGTAACATACTAGTTGTCTATGCAGTGTAAACGAAATTTGTTATTTAAACAGTAACAACAAGTATTCTATAACTTTTTTGTAAAACTAGTATATGACTTGTTTCTTGGTGTAAACGAGCTAAACGTGGACTAAAACAGAAGACTTTTATTTCCTAAGAAGAAGAGAGAGATTTAAACCTGTTTTGTTTGAGATTTAAATTAAAGCTAACTTTTCTCGCGTTTTGGAATAAGACGGACAATGATTAGTTACATTTCTATCTAAGTATTTACAGATAATTTACGTTATGCTACCGCGGCCCTGATGGCCGTGTCGAATTCTTTCTAACCTTTCTTAAGCTACAAGGCAGCGCGATCTTTTCGCATTGTAGGTGATCCACAATGTCAAATGAATATCTTTACAAGTATTAAATATTTAAAAGAAGAAATAGCAATAGGGTATTTGACAGTGTTAAAAATAAAGTGCCAATTCTTGGCATCTGTGTTTAGAATGAATATTGGCAGGGGTTTTTACTATTTTTACAGAAAAAATATTGATAATTTTACTAAAAACTAACGAAAAAGATAATAGTTTTCTTATCTATTGTCACGTGACCCAAAACGCTTGGGATTGGCGGAGCCTAAAATGACGTCACACGCAAGTAAACTTCCGCTTATAGTGATATTACATTGTATCGTTTGACGTTTTTATAACAGTCGTGTGACGTCACACACTAGTAAGACGCCGTATTGTCCTGAAAAACGTTTTCGCGGCAACTTGAAAATGGAGTTTTTGATTTGGTTATTCTTACTGAAATACAAAACAGAATGATGAATATCCATTTTACACCTTTTTACGGACTCCATAAACATTAGTCAATAACGTGAGATCGTTTTTCAAAACTTGTCAAATACCCTATTATTGTTATATTAATGAGTAGTAATTTTGATGACACATACCTTGATAGAGGAGCTCGATAGCGCAAGTGGTTAGCGCGTTCGGCTGCGATCGTTGAAGTTAAGCAACTTTCGCAGTGGTCGGTCATTGGATGGGTGACCAAAAATTACTATCTCGAGCTCCTCCGTGCTTCGGAAGGCACGTTAAGCCGTTGGTTCCGGCTGCATCTGCAGTCGTTAGCACCCACCAATCCGCACTGGGCCCGCGTGGTGGGTCATGGCCCAATCTCCCTAATCCATCCATAGGTTCAGACCTGTGCCACAGCAGTGGGGACATTAATAGGCTGATGATGATGATGATGACACATACCTTGATATGCGCTGTGGAGTATCGGAACGGTGTCATACGCTCCGAGCGCACCGTCGACTCCTCCAGGTGGAGGTTCAGCGACGCGTCTGTGTTCAAGTCTCTGCGAAACATTACTTAATAAGTAATACTATAAAATGACAGCTTAAATACCATACATAATTAACATAATCAATAAACTACTTTACGTACACTGTGGTGAATATTCTGACATGATTCTCGTAACCTAAAATTAAATTTGACAGTAGTATATCCTTGTCATTCTCTATACAGAATGAAAAGACAGATGTTAAATAACCTTTAAAGTTTAGAGAATCATACCAAAATCGACACATATATTACACTTATATTACCGCATCACCCTACATTCAAGCAAAGCTTTACTAACTATTATACAGGGCGTCCCGCGGGTTTGTCACACGGAGGGAAAGTATAGTAAATATTCAATATTTAGGATATTTAGCTGAAAGAAGACATCATTTTATTTTAAATAATAACTGGAACTGCATTGACGGAGTTTTTTTTCTTTCAGTAAAATATCCTATCTTCAATATTTAATATACTTTTCCTCCGTGTGACAAACCCGTAGGACATCCTGTATATATTTTCCAAGCAATCAGTAACATTTGCTGTGTGCATAGTAGGAGTACTCAAATTCTAATGTGTCTATGGCTTGCTAATCTTCATAGAGGTGCTTTCATAGTACACACTGCGTTTTCCACTAGATATAAGATAAGGATATTCATATTTACTAGATCGCGATGAAAAACTCAAATTACACACACAATAAGTTAAATGCCATAGATTGCTTACTGTAGTGTTTTCAGTCTAAAATACAACTCTATAAAGCTCATTGTCATTTACTTTTGAGGAAAACTTTAAATGCGAAATGGATGAATCGTGCCTGTGAGCGTGTCCAGCGTATTGTGGCCGCATATCGGTGATGTTATAATTTAATGAATAATATGAAAGTAGATGTATTACACCAAATGGCATCACGTGCGTCCCATGACAAGTGCATGCAATAAAATCTAGTCAAGAATAAAATTATGTACACAATTTATTTAAACATCAAAAGATAATCACTGACTATCTTTATTAAAATCAAAATTATTTTTTGTATTATTTACAATAAACTATTGTTGTCATTTCTCAAAAAATAAATAAATGAATTCTTTAAATATACAATTATTTACTTCTTCACGATTGCGTATAATTCTTTCCATTAAATTTATAAAGGATATGAAACAAAATAACATCCACTGCTGTCTGTGTTTTTTATACCAAATCAGCTGTATGATAAGAGTGCGATTCAAACATCATGGCGGCTGTGAAGTTGGCGCAAGTCGCTGCGCAATAATCGAAATATCGGGTCATGTAGGTAAATGCGCGCGGGATGTCACTGAATTGAAACCTGCGCCTAGTTGCGCTCGCTGCTAACATCACAACCGACAGAAAATTTGGATCGCACTATACTTCAGAACAAGAACTAAACCATATAAAAGCAATGCAATGATGTTGGAGCGGACGTGCGTAGACTATACATATCACCGAAAGAAAAAGTATTAGGGGCGAGCTGGTATTTGACATTAGATCACTCTTTTATTAGATACCGTTAAGGTAACCAAGGAACGCACTCTGTTCATAGCAAAATATATTTGTCTCTTTTTGATCAATATGTAATAATAATGAGATGACTATACGAGTCGAATTTATGTGTTAAATTGAAACTTGTTGTGTGGTTTGGTCGTTGTTCTGAGGATGACAGTATACCTGTCGGAGAGGTCGGTCCGCAGCGAGGGCGCGTCGAGCAGGGAGGGCGCGGCGTCGGCGCGGCACCCGGCGTAGTACCTGCGTGCCATCCACTCTCACTCATACCACACCGTATCATACGACAACAAACCATCGCATATAACGTGCCGACGCACGGGTTACACGCACCACCAAACAACACAGAAAGAGGTCACAAGGGCCTTATACGGGCCTTATGCGCCACTGTTATATGCGAGCAAATACTCATAAGGGTGAAGCCAAACGAGCGTAATTTTGTGAGTTGTGAGTCGCTTATTTTCGGTCACTTATTTTACGTCCAACTGAATTTCTGTCGAGCTGCCATACGAACGTAATTTATTCAGTTACTATTGAGCGTTAGTACGGGGTGTTCGTGTCGTCGAGTGCAATGGATCCATTAAAAATATTGTGTATTTACGAAGCATATTCAGAAGATGAAGCCAGAAAAAGAAACTGGGTAAACCCACTGAATAGTCAGAGGCTGATATGTGGACAGTTCCATACTTTATATGAACGTTTATGTGCAAATCCAGATATGTTTGAAAAGTACTATCATATGCCATTACGTGTTTTTCAAGAATTATTACACCACGCAACTTGTAACAAACTTTTGCTTCCCCACTCCCCTTCCTTGCCCTACCATCACCCCGACCGAAATTCGGACAAGCTTATGCGCATTGAGTCGGCAGACAACTCATTTTGCGTTGTCGTGTGGCACCAACTGCCTTTTTGTATGAAACCGAATGCAGCAGAATTTCTGCGACTCACCACTCACAAAATTACGCTCGTTTGGCCTCACCCTAACTTGACCAAAACTTGGTGTCGGTCGTGTGGTCGTTTGATTGGCCATTATCTATTAGGTGGACGTGTAGGTGGGGCGAGCCGGCCACATCGGCTCCCGTACAAACGGTCTAGAACGGTGTTTCCTAACCTTTCCAATACTGCTACCCCTGTAACCTATTAGGAAAACAAATTTTACCCCGACTTTGAAGTGCTATCATCAGTCCAAGAAATTCCAATTTGGCCGCTACATCTACGTCTCTAATAATGTCATCATCAGGAGAAAATCTCGCCCCGCTTCCCACACTCAGCACCCCGCGGGCTCGCTAGCAAGAGGGAGCGCATGCTCTATTTAGTAGTATTATTATATAGTATTTTCTTATTATTTAGATTTGACCAAACAATTAGGTTCTTTGTTACCCCCGAAGTATGGCTGATTTACCCCCCGAGGGGTAATTACCCCCAGGTTCGGAACCCAGGGTCTAGAATCACCCTTCTAACCTCTGTCCGTGTTCTGTGGGTTACACATACCATCAAACACATCCGTCATCACACGCTTGCAGGTAGGGACATGGACGCTGTCTTTATACTATAAAATTGCCAGACATGTTTTAATAAACAAAATAGTATAGAATTGACTCAAAAATAATGTATATTGTAATAACCACTGGTAAGGTAGTTCTTTTTGTCTGTATTTCTATCTCTATATGGCATTACCACAATGGTAACTTAATATGACACAGTGCGTCTTTTTTATCATATCAGTGCGTCTTAGCAAGTTATGAAATGCGACTAGGGACCATCCATAAATTACGTCACACGTTAAGGGGGAGGGAGGGGGTCGACAAAGTGTGACATCGTGTGACAAGGGAATGGGGGGGGGTCCTAAATTTCGTGACGTCACACTTCAAAATCTATTATAATCTCAGTGTTAAAACACGAACTTTAAACTATTACTTGTGATGTTAAATTCCCCTCCACAGCTCTTTACTAGCTTACTCAGAGCACCGGGGGAACAATAAAAGAAAACCAAAAAATTAAGATAATGTTATAAGTATATTTTATCCACTTTAGATACCAAAGCATAGGAATTCAGTAGTTTTAAGTTATTGCTTATATAAATCAACAAGTCCAACTATGTTTATTATTTATATAATAACTATGTTTCACTAATTATAAATATCTAAGCTGAATACAGTAGTTCAAAGTTAATGTGTATATAAACCAACAAGTTGTCAGGAAAGGTTATAATTATAAGAATATCAGACATTCATAACACTTTACCATGTACTTACAATATAATACTTACTAATATTTTTTTTATCCACAAATACCACATAGACTATACTGAATAAGCTATTTAGTGGATTTCAGAGGTTCTACGGCTCGTTTGATCGATATTGGTGACAAACTTAGTTAATTCTAGTTCTCAGTGAGATAACCAGCTATATAGATATATGTAAATATATGGAAATGGGTAAGTCGGGGTCCAACCTCGCCTGTTGTTTCCTTTTCACGTTCACCCGGGGTTAGTAGAGAAATACCTTGATTATGATAGGTTAAGCTGTGTATAATCTGTCCGCTGTTACGGCCGGGCTACATAAAACCGGAGAGCGGCTGGCAAATAAACTCCCGCGCCCCTTCTGGTCCGTGCACAGAACAAAAGTCTCCTTGTTAGTCCTCCAGTATTTCTTGAGGGGAACGTACAAGCCGTTCGAATTATGAAACTATCCGTAAGTATTTTGTTTCCTATCACAAGTTACCGCCTTATTATTGCAATCGCCTTGTGAAGGTTCGTGTTCGTCCACGAAACTCAGTTCGGTTAGCGACTCCGCGCTTTTTCCGCCAATATCCTTCGGGATATAAACTTTTCGGATCTATCTCACGACTTCGACGACAATAATATGCCGTTTATTATACTTTGGGCAGAAGAAAAGATGAAAAGTTAACTGTACCACAAACAGATTGTGAAATTTTAAAAGTTGTTTTGACAATCGCTCATAGATGATAGACGGATCGGCTACTCCCAAACATGTGTCTATGATTTGTTTCCCACTTCAACTGAAGGCAAAGGCCACAGTCAAACAGACAGCCGCCGCATTCGAGACGAACCGAAGAATAAACTCAAAACTATATACCTACGCTCGCCGTAAGCTGAGGAAAAGGGAATACCTACCCGAATCAGCGAGGAAATTCAATTTCGAGTAAAATTCAAAATCGATTAAAAACAGCACCCGATAAGGAGGACTCAAATCGATCTGGGAAAGACTATTCAAAATTCAACAACTGTCAAACTCCATCCATTCATCCACGCGCCCCCACAGAGATTCACCGCCTGAATACTTTTTTTTTTTTTTTTTTTTTTTTTATAAGTCTCAAGGCGAATATTTTAGTCGAATAGGAAAATCGACTCTTCCCTCAAGGCTACCAACCCAATCAATGAAGTTTGACAGCTACGCTGACGTAAGCGGTTCGCTATCATAGACAAAACAGCTGTCCTACGTGTGTCAGTGTCACGCTCTGTTTAAAAACAAACACTACAGTATCCCCCCACTCACGGCAGAATTCACGTAGGGAATTCGTCGAACGCCCTCGTTCGTATATCCCCATGTCTTATGTACTTTAGTTAAGATATGATTAGGTTATGTTGTATAAAATAATAGAATATTATAAACCGCTAAGTTAAGAAAAAATAAACATACAGAACGATAAATCATTGATAAATCTCTAAGTTGTAACAAAAATAGATAATAATAAATGACAATAGTAACACAAAGTGTATGCCACTCAAGGCCGTACCGCAGGCATCTTTGCTCCGAAAATAGATATAATAAAAAAAATTATAATGTTACCAGTTATACCGCGAAAAACATAATGGTAGAAAATTAACCAAAGAGATGTTATTGGTCAAAGGCGATTTGCTCACAAAATTACATGTTGTGCGTTCGTCCATCGTGTGTCTCATTTACTGTCTCCCGAGAGAAATAAAAAAAAAATATCATAAATATTCTATGCTCATCATAGGATATTATGATAAAAGTTGTTGTTAATACGTTTTCATTTGTATTAGCAACTTCAATAAAATGCCTTGGTAGGTAAAAAACTAACAAGCACACTAACAAAATGTTCTCCTGGAAAAGTTAAGAGACAATTAAGTGTTTAAGCATTAATTAGGTGGCAAACAAAGAGATCACACTATCGGAGACGAACACACACATGGGTATCTAAGATGCAGTGTGATACCAAGACCCATTGACGATTTCTACGTCACGCCGGGCAGAAGGCGGAATGGGTATTCGTCGGCCGCCACATCCACGGCGATAAGTCCCTACCTAAATATCTATTCGGGGTCAGCGCTTTTGAAATCTTTTATATGCCATTTGCCTACATACTTCCCGTTTTCGTCTTCGAGCTCGTAAACGAGTGGGGAGAGTTTACGGATTATTTTGCAACGTTCATATTTCGGTGCAAGTTTGACTGAAAAGTATTTATGAGCCGCGCTTTGTTTATACGTCCGTTTCCAAATGTAATCGCCTACGTTAAAGGAAATATCCCTACGACGCCTGTTATAATATTTAACGTTCCTATCGTGGGCTTTTCGCAGTGAGTCCTTGACCTCTTTAAAGATTTCACCTAAATGACCCAGATTAGACGCATGAGTATCCCGGGGTACTATCACTAACTCGTCAAGATCGTTGAAACCGGCATAAATACTACCATCGGTCACAGCCTCCCTACCATGAACTAACATAAACGGAGTATATGACGTGGATTCGTTCACAGAGGTGTTCATAGCGAACTGGATCTTATGAATATTCACGTCCCAAGATCTATGGTCATTTTCAACGAACGAGGCCACCGCAGTGATGACAGTACGGTTATAACGTTCGACAGTGTTAACCTGAGGGCAATACACAGGACCCAAATGGACTTGTGGTATATTATATTTGGCATACAAAGATTGAAGTTCATGGCTTACAAATTGCGATCCGTTATCGGAGATCACGGTTTGAGGTATACCATGAATCAAAAAGACATGATCCTCCAGTCGCTGAGCAATCACCCTACCCGTAGCTCGACGTAAAGGAAATAATAAACAATATTTTGTAAAGCAACACACTACTACCAGCAAATAGTTGTTTTGCTGTCTGGACATCGGCAGTGGGCCAACTAAATCGATGCTGATGCACTGGAATGGCCGACAGCAAACTTTAGGTTCTCCCATGAACCCAGGAGTTGCCAGTGAACTGTGTTTGTATGCGTTGCAAACCGAGCAACTC